CTGAGGCATTTTGTTTTCATAGTTACTGTTCTATGAGCCAGATATAAGAAAAACTTGCAAAGGCGTTCACTATAGAAGAGGTTACCAAAATAAGGGAAGTTATTTCTGATACAAAGTACTGCTTACATATTGGGGGGATAAAGGGAAAATTACTCCTGAAACTGACATCCTCACGATTTCCAGTTCCTCTTCACAAACTGATGGTGTTGTGCTTTTTCAACTGTATTATGTTTATTAAACTGTGTTTGTATTCAGTGGAGAATGTCTCTTCCTATTTCCAGATATACTGTAATGATTTTGGTAAAATGAATAGAAAATATAACTTCAAACTTGATAAACAATAGCGTTGTGTGCCTGTTTGTAACTATATTTGTATACTTCACTTCAAAACTAAATTAGATATAAAGGACAAACTGTACTACATGAATTATAGTATTACAGTGTTACATTACCTCAATAATGCCATGGTTACCTTTTGAGGAATCTAAACATAATTGTTTGGAGGCCATTTGAAATTAGATCATGCTACTCTGTTTTTTTCTTCAGAAAGTTGGAGCAGCAGGAGTTAAAAAATGTCAAAGCAATGTAGAAGGACTCAGCATACACCTTTCATTTTTTCCTGACAAATGACAGAACAATTGTTTCTTGGAAATAACTAAGTAACTTAAGAGATTTTTTTTCTTTGTTTTTTAAGATTGTGCTAATGTGTTGGGGAAAAGTTATACAAATGAAGGGAAAAAATCTGTATGGAGCCTTTTATCCGTATTCCAAAAGCACGCCTCCCTTTAAAACAAGACAACCTCTATTAAGTAAAGATTAGGTGCTGAAGGGGTAGGACAGCTAATTACAGTGTCTTCTACTTGTGTTTGTCAATGCCTGCCTTTGTTCATGTGTCTATCCCTTGCGATCATTAGCTATACTTCTGGATGTTGCCCGGCACTGTTTGAAATGCAGCAACAGTGGCTGACACGTTTTATTACACTGTCTGCAGGAGGAATACAAATGAATTGGTCACAATGACTTGCTTTATCTTGGCATTTGCCTGGAGGTTTTTCTGCAGTCCACACAGAATCACAAAGCACTATTTTTTTGCAAAATATTTACGGTAACAAGATAATGACATAGCTTCACCTGGGACATTTTGGGCAGCTTTATTGAAATCCACTGATATTTGCATGTGCCCTCATCATCATTGAGATAACTGCTAACTGAACAATTGCCAGCAGTTGTTAATGAAAGCAAAAAGAACCTTTAATTGCTAATCAAGATTCAATGTCTTTCCTGTATGGAGTGTAATAGTCAATCTGACAGGACAATTGTCTCAGAAGGAGAAATTTTAATTAAAGCAAGCTATGTAATAGTTTGCCGTTATCTGTCTGGTGTAAACCATGGATTTTATTTTTGAAAGTATTGTAATAACCTAAAATTTTTCTGAAGCTGAATCTAAAACTTCTGCCATAGAATGAGTTCCTAATATGACTTTGTCTCCCACTCTTAATAGAGTTTGTGTTGTAGATATGGTGAATCCATATGTAATTTGAAATTGATTAAAAGACTGTTAAAGCTATTTTTATACCCAAATATAGTTCATGGAAGAGATTTTTTTAGTCTTGCTTATTTTAAATTAATAATCTACCTAATGCACCTTTATGCTTCTGATTTTAATGTATTTTACGTGCCTTTTACTCAAACTGCTTTTTGCAATAAAAAACAGAAAAGCAGATTATTTAATAGTCCAACAAAACAGCTGGGAACAATTGCATTAGCAAAAAATTAGTTAACAAGTTGGGCTTATGGGATACCATATGACTAGTTCCTTGCTGTGTTTCCAGTATATTGCTCAATATGAGTGCTAGAACATGCCTGCACTTTCAATCAATACATTGTCTACGCCAGCATGTTTCTCAGTATGGAAGACCTTTGCTTGGCACATTAGTCTTCCTTACAAAGAACAAAATTGGATCTTGTTGAATGGGTTAAGTCATCCCCCCATGGCAGAAGACACTCAGTACAATCATATGTTATGAGAAGAGACATATCGCATTTCTTGTAGTCTTGTAGTTCTTAATGTTTTTCTTGGATTTTGGCTGTCTACTCATGTGTCTTTAAGAAAAGCATCCCAAATGGAAAAAATGTTAAAAACATAAAAGTGAAAATCAAACAAACCAATCTAAAGCAAATTAACTATCAAGGTACTGTATTAATCACTTTCAATTTTACTTTCCAGCATATAGTTATATTTTTAGCCTCGGCACAATTTGCAATTATAATTATGGATATTAAATCCATATCTTCATCGTAAACACTTTCAAGTATGTGTAATAGGGTGCTTTATTAAAGGCTTTGCAAGCTAATTTTCAGTTTTCTCACACTAAAGTTATTTTTGCCTATTAAAGAATTAGCAGCTTAGAGAGCATATATAACTGCCTTTAACAAAGATGCAAGCTGAAGTATTGTTTGGGTGTTCTGACATTTCAGAAATGTCAAAGAAGAATTCTTTGAAAGTTTGATTATATTGTAAAAGCAATGTTTACAGTCTGCAGTTAATCTTAATAAATCATAATCTAAGTATTCATATTATACTTAATTTAAAGTGTCACTTTGGTTCCATCCCCACCACCCCCATGCTGCAAGTGAGTTCCAAAAGGAAAATCATAGCATACAAGTATAATGGAGTCTTATTTTTAACAATTGAAATATGTTTGGTTTATTTAACTATAAACCTTGAGACAAAGCAAATAATACGTTTACAGCTCATGTACAGTCTGATTCTGAAGTAGTTTGTGTCTCCTTGTAACAGAGGAGACATTTCAAACATTGTTGTTGAATAAGGTGAATATGTTTAGACCATTATTGTTGTTGTTTTTATACAAATTCTATGGAGACCCGAGGCAGCAGTATACTGTACTTGCTGCCCTAGTATAAAGAGACTGTTCACAAAAGTGAAGTTTTCATAATATTCAATGAGGTGAAATGTGGATGAAATGTTTTTAACAGAACATTAAAGATGAAAGCTGTTTTTCAGTGTTTCAGTCCTCTCTTAAGTGTAAGAGTAAAAAAACTATTGTTCTGATTTGTTTTCTTTTACTTTTACAAGAGGCACAGTACTTCACTTAGTGCTGCAGTCTTACAGTTCTGCCTTTTCAGGTTACTGACCCATAACCCAAGGCAATTTAATCTTCTTTTTAACATGGATTACTTTAGAGTCAAACAACATTACTTTGGAGAGTTGATTTAATAGTTTCTGAAATCCCACTTTATTCTAGTTAGTATCAAGAAATCGACTTGTCTTTAACATTAAACAATAGGCTTATGCAGCACTAACCAGAGAGGGGGATCAATGCTCAGTATAGATTTTGCTGTCCAAATGCTTCATAAGGATTTGGCTGCCTAAAATGGCAACTCCATTTAAAAGGCAATCATTGCTCACTGCTTTTTTTGTTCGTTCAATATACAAAAAAATCAATGCAGAGTTACCTGTTAATGTGAAATTCCAAAGTCCCTCGACAATTGAAATTGGATTAATTCAAATATTATTACCTCTAATAAATCCCCTTCTTGTTCTGACTGTTGCAGTCATAATGAAAGTAGGCATCAGCAACAAAAGATTTGTTTTGATCCACATCCTTTGATCCAGTTGGGAATAAAAGTTAGAATTTATTGGATTGTTAACTCTTTTAAAAGAAACCAATATGTCGTTAAATTTACAGTGAACAAGTAATGCTATACTGGCAGTATAGCATTAGTTGTCTGATGTAGCTATACTCATCCTCATACTTATGTACTGTAGGAAAAACATAAAAGCATTTACTTTACTAGAAAAGTAAAAAAACAGCATTTTGCGTGAAAACCAGCAGAAATGTTTCAGTAGGAACATTTATTCTCCCCATGTAAAAGTACAATACACTGGCAATTATTTGATAGTTATTATTGGTGGTAATGGCTGTGTGGTAGAATGAGTATTACTTATCATGTATTAAAGCCATAAATCTGTTTGAGAAATCAAACCAGAGTGTGTTGCCATAGTCATCTGTCAGATGTGACAAGGTAAAGTCACAAATGGTGAGCCAGTCCAGGAAGATGAATTCCCCTAGCACACTACTGAAAATAAAAGCCCTTGGGGTTACAGATCTCCTGCTTGCAGTATTTGCTTTTTAAGGAGAGAAAAGCAGACCTTCCTTTCATGTGTGTAAACAGAATGCAGGCAATGCTTATTTATGGTATGTTGTAGAAAAGGTGAACTAATTATGGAACGTGACAAGGCAGTAAATCATTTTTCTGAGTCCTCACAAAAAACCTTTCATCTCTAGGTCAAATGTCCTTTATTACTGTTAATATAAGGACCTGTAACAGTATTGGAATTATTCTTTATTTGTAGTTCAAAGCATTAAAACAATTCCAGCTTTACTGCACATTGCAGAAATCTGAAAACAAATGCTACATGTTTCTACCCTGTCTTTTTTTTATTTCAAGGCCTCAGTGCCTCATAATCATAATTTCAAAATCCGTGCTGTAATGAGATTTTTCACTTGAGAGAACATTACTGCTACAGGATTATATATCTTAAATTAATAATCTTTGATCTTATTTATACCATATTATTATTAGAAAAAAAAGATCAATTTTTTAAAAATCAATTTAGCATGCACTATCCATAACTTCACTGTTTGTATGTCATTTCTAAAAGTTAATTTGCATTAGAAAATGCAAAACATTATGCCCTAGAGAGTTATGGTAGTGGTGGTATCAATGTGCACTTTATCAGTGACAAAAGCATAAAACATTAAACAATACCTTTGACAAATTGGGCTCAGCACCTTATGTTGAAGTTAATACACAATTTAAACTTTTCTGTTACCGTTGCCCTGCAATAATGCACAGGTTGTCAGAACTGGCTTCTGCCATGTGGTCACGCATATATAGGTTTTGAACTTGTGTTGTTGTCCATTTTGTAAAAACTTTTATCTCACAATCTTTCTTTTTTTTTCTTTCCTTACCAGATGGCTGCCCCAATCTTTGCAATGGCAATGGGAAATGTACCCTTGGTCAGAACAGCTGGCATTGTGTCTGTCAGACAGGCTGGAGAGGCTCTGGATGCAACGTTGCCATGGAAACCTCTTGTGCTGATAACAAGGATAATGAGGGAGGTGAGAAACACACATCAGACTCCTTATGCCCTTAAGAACTGTTAGGTTTAGGTGGTGTGATCATAATTTAATTTGCTAGAAAGGCAAAACGCTCATTAGGTTTTTAGTTCATTTATCAATGGTGCTTTTGTTTATGTATATCTTAAAAGCATGTTTCGTGATTCAGTTTTAAAACCATTTCTTGGGAAAAAGAGATCATGTTTCAGAGGTTAAGAGTTGTTCATAATCTGCGTCTCATACCTCAGTGGCTCGTTGTTTATGAAGAGTAAACGGCAAAGGCGCGGTTGTGTAATGGAGCCCTCAGGAAAACTCAAGTTTATTACAGTGCAGTTGTTCTCTTGTTTCTTTGGAAGCTGCGGAGTTTAATGTCAGATGAAAACTCCTTGGGAAGTTCTCCAGATGAGGGTGGAAGCATAAGAAGTGGGAGTTTGAAGTGGAAAAAAAATCCAGCAAACACGTTTTTGACAAACCAAAACAGAAGATCTAGAGGAACATAGTTCTGAAAGTGATTTATGAGAGTATTCTATGGTAATAGGAATTCCTACAATAGGAAAATATGTTTTAAAGATCATTACAGTTTTTTACAGAAACTCACTCCTTATTAATATTGTCTTAAATTCACATACATCTGACCTTACTGCTTTGACCCCAGTATTTATCTATCTATGGTCTTTCTGTAGCTAGCCATATTTATTTAATAGAAGTGTCCAACAGAAGTTTAACAAATCCTGAAGGACTCATTATTTTCTATTCATCTTTGCTCTGTTTTAATACACCTCCATTCAGCATATTTTTTAGGTCTTCGGTACCTTATTAGACTTAAGAGCCACTTACAAACATTATGGTGATTTTTGTTAGCACCAATACTAATACCGTCAAAACCTAATGAACCAAATTGTAAAAAATTTCCTCTGCCTTGGAAGCCAAGCTAGCATCCTCTCTCCTGGAAAAATTGATCAAATTATCTTCGAGACCATATGTTTCGACACAACAAATGAGAAAATGGGATAAAACCCGAAATTCCCATTAGGAACCATGGTCTGCATTTTCTCTCAGGGGCTGTTATATCATGTTTTAAATTTTAATCCAGCTTGTATACTGGCAGATATAGTTATTTATTTTAAATGTATCTTTAACACATGGGCCTGAAATTTACTTTGATTTCATTTCATTTCAGGGAAGTATTTTGTGATGTATAAATATTAATTCCATTTTACCCTTCTCAGCTGCTGCAGGAAAGCATGCTTGGCAGCAAGTAATAATCATAAAAAAGTGTCACAACACTGTCAAATTGAACGTATAAGCAACAAAAAACCTGCTGCAATTACAGCTCTGAACTGCTTCGATTTCTCAAGGTGACATCCTTGGTCCATGTAGCAGTGGGAGTCACATCAGGACTGATTACAGGCTATTCTAAGTTTGTTGATTGAACACTCCTGAGAATGGGATTTTTCACGAATCTGACACAACACAATCAGCAGAAAAGCTGCCTCATAAAGCTCAGAGCTAGACACTAGGAGTTATGGAAAGTCACTGAGCTGTTTTTCCCTCTTTTTTATTACTCTCCTGCGTTTTAAGATCCAGTATGAGACAGATTCTAGCTGCATTCCTCCTGCAATAACTAATATGTGGGAACCGAGGCTATATTTTCTTGTCCATATTCCCTAGGTCATCCTCTTGAAATGACGCTTTCCTCTCAGTGGATTGCACTTGGTTAATTGACTGATTTTGTTCCAGTGCCTTCTATAATTTAACCTGAGGAAAACGGCTGTATTTTCAGTCTTTGTCAGCTCTGACATCTAATGGTTGTCCTTAAGCAGCAATCTGATGCAAAATCTGTTAAGACAAATGTGCTTTTTTGTGATGCACTGAAAAAGATTTTAAAAGCACTTGACAAAGGCAAAGTATTAGAAGTGGCCTGTTGAGCTATAACACACAGTCATGTGCTCTTATTTGAGGGACAGCAGTTCTTGCTGTGACTAAGAACAGTGCCCAGAAGGCACCATCAGGAACTGCTTCCTAGCCTTGTGTCCTTGCTGTTGTTACTAAAGCTATGCCACTCTGGCAGCTATCCACAGGATTCAAGTACTCAACAATAAAAGCAACAGACAGAATCATTATATATCAGGAAAAGCACAGAAACTCGTAGATTTAAGGAAGGTCACAATTGTCACCTCGAGTCTCCTATTTAACCTCTTGCTGGTTAAATTGGAGAGTTGAAGAGGGTATACACCCCCTATGCAGGCTCTATTTTCTGAACTCTTACTCTACACATCCCCTATGAAAGCTCTATTTTTTTATCTCTTACTGTAAACATCCCCTGTGAAAGCTCTGTTTTTCAAAGAGGAGGACTCAGTGAAATTGTGAAATTTATTTATTTATTTATTATTATTTATTGTTGTTGTTTTTTTGTATCTACGCTTCTGCAACAACTAGCTTCTGAACATCCGCTCCCAGTGGAATCTGGGCTGTCATTTCCCCTGCAGCCACACATAATAGGCACCTGCTGGATTGTTTTAAAATTTCACATGCACACTGTAAATTCATTAATTCAGTCATGACAACTCACACTTTTAGGGTGTGTTTTTTTATGAAGAGGCTTTAAAAAAGAAAATGCTTTGTTTGTTTCGTATGTGCTGAAAACATTTAATCCAAGAGCCCATATGTTTTGCCATCGAAAATGTCTTAGAATGACAAGAGGCAATTTGCTTCTCTTCAGGCATACAGGAGTATAACAGTAAATTTTTGGAATCTTTAAAATATGCTTTTCTACTTTCAAAGATGGATACCTACAATATCCTACAATCTGTCAATAGAATGACATTGCTCTTGGGCTTCTCAGCATGAGAATTTGTGACTGTAATAGGAGTGTAACCTTATACTGAATGACCTCTTTTTAAGCCTATATATTTCAACATCTTCAATCAGCTAGGTTTCTCTGTTGCTTTTCTTAACTTTTTATTTACTTCCACAGTTATTTCCCCTTCTATTAAAAGAATGCTTTTCTTTTTTCAGTAAAAAAAACAATATATGAAGTAAAAATGAAAGATGAAAAGAAATGGGTAAAATACATTTTACCACTGTTTTTTTGGCAACAAATGCACACAATAGGAATAATCTGTGATTAGAACTTCAATGATATGTTGTACTGCTGTCTACTTGAATTAATTCATGTGAAAACTGACCTAACTTTGATGAAAAGGTTTGGCTATAAATTTACTATATAACTTTCTGCTGTCCGTAAGATGGTAGTTGATTCTTCCTTTATTTCTTTCTTGGTCTCTAGCTTGTGTGTGTGCTTTATCCTGAATAATCTGAGATTTCTAACAGTCAAAGTTTGTACTGATTCCTTTCAGGTGTAGGATCCTGTGTTTTTGGACAATGATATGAACGTGCAATGCAAAACTTTGTCTTAGTAAATCCTGACACCTAATGTGGTGTGTGGTGAGCGTTCTGGCACACAATGGCTGCCGTCGCATCATCCAGGTGGATGCTGCACATTGGTGGTGGTAGAGGGGAGTCCCCATTACCTGTAAAGCGCTTTGAGTAGAGTATCCAGAAAAGCGCTATATAAGTATAAGAAATTATTAATTAGTAGTATTATTAATGTACTATGTACAGTATATACTGTAGTACATAGTAGTACTTGCCACCTGAAGAAGGCTTCACAGCCGAAACGTGTTTTCTCTCTTCTCTTTTCAGCATGCTATAAACCTATTACTTGTTCCTTTGCAGACTATACATGCTGACGCAGCTAGCCACCTAAACTGTGTATATATGATGTTACAACACTGTAAGGCATTCTTATAATGGGTTTGTAAGGAAGAACTTTTAGAGAAGATATTTGAGTAAATCTGTTGAAATTGAAATTTCCCCCCATTTTTTCTACCTCACTAAATACTAGAATTCGTAGAGCAGGGCAAGTTAACTCACTACCCTCCTTGCTGCCTCCTAATTATTAAAGTTGTTGTTGTTACACATGCTACAGAAGTCAAGTAGATGAAGGAACTCTACTTAAAGTAAATCAAAATCATGCAGGGCAGGAAATTGTTTTAAAAATACATAATTTTAATACATAGATAAAAGTCACTCAGGTGGGAAAGTAAGCTCTTGAGAGTTATTCATTATGGGAACCTCTGCTTGAACCCATTTTGGTATCTTCTACATTCAGGCACTGTCAGGAGAATATTAATGACCACCCTGGCACTGCATGACTCATACTAGTATTGTCTAACGTGTGGCATCAGTTACATTGTTTAAAGCTTTCTCTCCCCTTACATTTGATGGACAACTGAATGAATTTAAGGATCTGGAGTGACAGATTATTTTGCTTCAGAATCAGAGTGTAGTTCCTAAATTTGGTCATAATACTGAAACAGAAAAGGCTTTTTTTCCAGCAGCAACACCTGGATTAAGTTCAAATGATGAAAGGGCTGTCCAGCAACGTTATCAATGTCTTTTCCAAAGCATTATTCTTGTAATGGAAAAAGCAAAACATAAACAGTACGTGGTCTACAGCACATACAGTATTCCTCATCCTTGCTTGAAGATGATTATCTTTTAATGGAGAAGCTCAATTCCTTTATTAAAAGTTTTCCGGAAGTGTGGATTTTAAATAAGAAAAAGGATGCAATATTTAACCTTTTTAATGGTACTGTTTTAATTTAAAAAAATAATGATTTCCTAGCAGCCATCTTTGGTCTTTAAAGTCAGTATCTCTAAAGCTATTGTTGCATTCTAGATGTATACTTATAGCCACCACTTCTTTTATCTTATGTTAGATCCAGTCTTCTTATAACTTTCTTGAATGGGAAGATAGACATCTAATGTCAGATGGTATGGAGTCTTAAAAGAAATCCTCAAAGGAAATATTTAATGATTGGAGTAATCCTCAGACCTTGGCATATACATACAGTATATGTTCATTGTGAGTAAAGAAATTGAAAAATATTGGATTCTGGAAGACATCTCAATCATCATTTATTTCATGCCCTAAATCCTGAGTACAAAAATACATTAAAAAGACATAATTAAAAACTAAACATAAAAGGCAGAAAATTGAAATAGAAAAGACTGTCATTAAGTGAAAAGCTATCCATGAGAGTAGCTCTTTAAGATGGGTTTTAAAATTTCCGACTTAGATGCAATGCAAAGAATTCCACTACTGGTGTATAAGAAGAAAAGGCTCGGTCACCCAGTTTGTAACTTGCAGGTTTGTGTTACTAGCAGAAGAACACGAGACAAAAAATTAGGAGTCTGATTTTGCAAAAGACCCTTCAAATACAGCAGAACAAGGTCAGGCAAAGGAGGCAACCTGTGATTTGCAGTGATTGCAACAGAGGGATGACATTAGAACCTGACTTAAATTTTGAGAGGACTCAAGAATCACTGTTTTCCACTTTTGATCTTTTTAGATGCAGGCAGTCAGAGCATTCATTACAATAGTCAACCCTAGTAAAAAATACACAGGCGTGGAGAAAGGGACACATTTCACAGAATCAGACATAGCAAAGTAGGATCCAAATTAGAGCAGTATTCTAAGAAAAAGGGAGGTTTAAATTTTGTTGTGAATATGGCTTAAATGTCTGATTAGACATTTAAAAGTCAAATCACCATTATCAACAGGTTATGATCTCAGTTGTTTCAATTAAGCAATTTGATTCCAAGGCCCAATGAATATAACCTTAGTTTTATTACTGTTAAACTGTATTTGATACACTTTTATGCATCCATATTTTTTATACCCTGGTTGTATAATGCAAACAAGTAATAGATCGAAGTAAGAAAAAAATGAATGTCATGAGCATAGAAATTATATCCAAGACTATATTATTTAACCTAGAAGAAACATATAAATTATAAACAAGGCAGGGCCCAATATAGGCACTTGATGCACTTCAATTCAAACAGCAATTGTGGCAGCCATACAATGGCCAAGTGATGCAAACTGTGTTTTATTGCTCAGATAAGACTCAAATTAGTATATAAATGTGTCAGTACTGCCAATTGATTTTTGAGACATTTTTAGTCATTTCTATAGACTTGTGTGTTAAATGTGTGAAGACCATAGTTTTAATTAAAAGGCTTTAATACTGGAAAAGGGTTTACATACACATTAGGTTTGAAAAAAAGGCATAACTAATAGCCATACATCACATGACATTTGTATTCCTATAAACAGGACCTTTTTAAAAGCACATTTTTAGCTGTAGTTTCAGTATGAACTGTATGAAATGGTTTTAACTAAAAAGTTAATTTCTTCTTCTTACACAGAAGGTTATATGACATTTAAAAGCAGCAGTGTACTGCATGTTGGAAATTAATTTTTCTACCACTTTTTGTATATTCTTTGTAAACCTAACAAATTCCCTTCTACAACAAATTGTTGCAGAAAAAAAAATCCCAAAGCATTATTTTAAGTGCTGTGTGGAGTATTGTATCACAGAAGCTCTCCTTTTCACTCAGGAGGTCTGTGTTTGTGCAATGAGAGAGAAGATAGATTGCAGTGACAGGATAATTACACTTGCTGGTGTGGATCCAGTGGTCTTGCTGACAAATAGATTTGATTCTTGTGACTGACAACCCCCAGGAGAGTCCAGGGAGTTGGGGATTGGGGTGTTGGAGAAAATAGAGTGGGCTGATCTAAGGTTCACTTGTGTATGTGTCCATGATGGAGGTTGAGTGATAAATTGAAAGCAGGTCCATGCAACAGCAGCTGCTATGCTCTTTAGGCTGTCTCAGTCCCAAGTGGTCTAGACAGCATACTAACAAAGGCAATCACCTAGAAGCTAACAGGATGTTTATATAGTGCATTGATGGGATTTGCGGTAAACTGCATGTATCTACTTATTTATTCATTTGTTGTTTTTGTTTCAATAGTTATTACTTGCCATATCTCCACTTAGAAGGATTTGGGAAGGAAGAGTAGTGTAATATGCAAATATTTGTGAAACAAAGATGAATACAGAAATTGCTTTAAAATATGTGAAACCACATGTAATAATGGCAGGTTTACCATATTTCACTTGCCCTGTTCAGGTGTTGCTAGCAGATGGCTTTTTGCAATTTGTAAAAAAACAGGTGTTGTAAAATATTTTATCTCATCTTGGTATGTGTTATTCTTACTACTATTATTATCTGTAGTCTTTGAAGTCTGCCGTGGTCTTGATTTTCTACTTTTAGGGGTTTTATGGAAATTTTCTAATGATTCTAAGAATTACTCTTGAAAACATCTTATATTTGAAAATGTAAGTATTGCGCAGATTCTCAGTGCCCGCTGACATGACGAGTTCCAGGTCAGTTACACCTTTGAAATCTTCTTCCCACATATACCTGACATAAAAGCAACCATAGTATTTTTTCACCCAATAATTCCTAAATTAATTGCTGTTAAAATGAATGCATGCTATATGTCATAATACAGTCATGCTAGGTTAAATGGGTTAAGCTGACATTTCATTGCAGTCTGGAACACAGGAGCATTGTGTTGGTTTGACTGTGAAGCACACTGCAATGTTGTGCTTGAAGTAGCTGTCTAAGCCTTGCTTGTTTAGCTCTGTTAGAATGATCATTAAGGAGACAAGTGCACTGAAAGAAGTGAAACCTTTTGTCCACAAATACTTTATTTTTAGCATTCCAAAGCTTTCCTCCTGTCTCTGTGTGCTCCAGCTTTGTGATGATTGTTCGCCTTTGTAATCTTTTCCACAGTTACAGAAAAAAAGATTTGTTTTTCAGTTTGCAAATTTGGATATTTTGACATTTGCATTTCCAGCATGACACAAGTGCTTTTATGGGCAAAACTGAAGACTTCTTTGCATAGTTACAAAGCAAACCTGTAGCATGTTTCTTTAGTGAGTAATGCATGGCATTTATTTATAGGTGCCCATTCTGTAAATCCTTGCTGTTGCCATTAACATAAAAAAGTATTCACTGACTGCTCCAGGTCCCTTAAAACAGTACAGTTTCTCTCTGAATAAGTGTTGACACAACAATTGCCATTAGTTTGCCCAAGTTTACCATTAAGAGCAAGAGTGTGAGATACTGTGTTATCTGGGAAAAATATCAATAAATAATAAGAACATTAACCTGTTTTTGGAGTATTAACAGTTAATCTGACTTTTCTTGCATACTTGTGCTTTGCCTTCCCAGATGGTCTCATTGATTGCATGGACCCAGACTGCTGTATACAAAGCCCCTGCCAGTCCAACCCACTGTGCCGTGGGTCACGTGACCCTCTGCAGATTATCCAGCAGAGCCAGTCCCCTTCTCAGAAAGTGAGGTCATTCTACGACAGGGTGAAGATGCTAGTGGGCAGGGACAGTACTCACATCATCCCTGCAGACAACCCTTTTAATGCAAGGTATTGATGCACATTGCCATTGGAGAATGTGCACTTAGATTGGGGCCTCATGTACTTTCATTTTCTGCTCTGTATGTCACAGGCAACACAATCTGTGAAATGTCCCCATCTCAATGGCATGTTGTTTAGTCATTTCTTTTATTGAATTCAAGTAACTCACATCTGAGCTCCAACAGGGGCTGGTTATTGGAAAAATATGACTAACGTTAGAGTTTTGATAGAGAGTCGTATGTAATGCTGCACTTTCTCTGGATTTCAATTTGACCTCAGTCACAGCCTTCCAATTTAATTTTCTTTTTTTTTTCTATTTTAAAAGCTGATCTCATTCAGTCATTCTTTTCATGGAAAATTATCTCTTGTAACTATGGGTACTCCAAATAACTTGCCCGTAACCTTTCATACTCAAACAGTTTTTTAAAGGGGAAAAACAGAAGGATAGTTGAAGCAAGCTTTAAAGTGAATGCTACAAAACGGTATAAAAGAGTAGGGACATTCATGTCATATATTATTCTAATACAGTTATACTTCAGTGAACAATCTTGGCCAGCAACCATCTTGAAATATGCAGCCATAGCAGGAATTACCTGCACAACTGAAAAATGATTTTGAGACACACATAAGTATAAGTTGATCAAGTGGCAGTGCTTTGAAAAAAGTGCAGTGAGGATGCCAGAATATGCAGTACTGTACATTTGCCAGAATATAACATACAGTATATACAATATACAATATATCTTACATATATTTTCATAATTGATCTCTAAATTATTTTATAAAGGCATAACACTTGGTTAATCTCGCTTATTTCAAAGCTTTAATTTATGTTAAATACTTTGAAACCCAAAGCTGATATGTATGCCCAAAGGAGAAGAAAATCATGAAAGTTGATGCTAATGAGGAGAAAAAGCTCAAGAACTAATAAAGCGTAATAAGGCGAGGCAAATCTATAAATCCGAATGATTTGGCAAGTGGGGGAGAAGGAAAATGTAAATAGAACAATGTATATGGCCCAGAATTGCTACAGCTCAAGGAAGTATAATGTCTGTCAATTTATAAATGTATCATTATAATAACACAAGATTTGTTTGTTGCAGAAAATCATATTTAGACATGCATCCCAATTCAAAGAATTCCTGATAAAAATTGTTCATTTTTTCTCTTTTTAACTGGTGTTTTTAATATCTTTTTCTGCAGTCTCGCCTCTTTGATCAGAGGGCAAGTGTTAACCACAGATGGCACTCCACTGGTTGGTGTTAATGTGTCCTTTGTGAAATACCCTCATTATGGGTACACTTTAACTCGCCAGGATGGAACGTAAGTGGCTTTTATATTTCTTGAAAGTAGGAAAGAGTATATTCTGTGTCATCCTTTCAGAGATATATCATTAAGCTACTTCAGCCAATGGATTTATTTTTCTTTATCAGACGTGCAATAGCAAGAACAGTATTCAAATCACTGCATGGCTAAACAGAAATCTAAGTATGGCAGTAAATATCACTATTTTCTTCTGGTTTAGAGATACTTTTTAATTTGTAGGAATCATTTTGTAATTCTTGTCATTTCTGTAATTCTCCTTGTTGGGTTTAGTGAAAAGATTAGTGTTTGAAGGCTGATGTAAAAAGCTTCACAATCATGCACTAATTTCTTAATGAAATTAACTATCCATAACAGCACTTAATTACCATCTAGCCACATCAAGACACTAAAAGCTTGCTTGACAGTGTAATAATAACCCATCTGAAGAACAAAGAATAATTTTCTTGAATTTTATTCTACACGGACATGTAAGTTTTGTCTTTATTATTAAGATCAAGGAAAAATATTTGCAGACATGTAAAACTGAAAATAACAACATAGGATGAATGTTTCATTACTTAAGGAAATGTCCTAAGTTTTGTCTATATTATTAAGATCAAGGAAAAATATTTGCAGACATGTAAAACTGAAAATAACAACATAGGATGAATGTTTCATTACTTAAGGAAATGTCCTAACATATTAAAAATTCTTAAATGGTTAGTAATAGGTACTGTATCTTCACATTTTAATTTTAATATATAACTTTTGATATAAAAAAAGCATGGATATCCAATATCAGTGACCATAGCAGCTTTTAAAATAATACCATGACTTTGATTACAATTATTGCTACTATTGCAAATATTAGTAATAACAATGAGAAAAATTGAATCCTTTAGGACACTAGGTTTAATATCCATTTCTTATCTTTCATTTTCACAGGTTTGACTTGATTGCCAATGGTGGTGCATCTCTGACACTCCACTTTGAGCGGGCACCCTTCATGAGTCAGGACCGCACAGTGTGGCTGCCCTGGAACAGTTTCTATGCCATGGACACCCTGGTGATGAAAACTGAGGAGAACACCATCCCCAGCTGTGACCTGAGTGGCTTTATCAGGCCTGATCCTATTGTCATCGCCTCTCCCCTCTCCTCCTTCTTCAGCTCTCAGCCTGGACAGAAGCCTATCATTCCTGAGACTCAGGCAAGGTTTTCAAACAGGATCTGATAATAATTCATATATGACTTTTCAACCCTGCATTGCCCTTGACTCACTGAAAAGTTGGGAGTATAAAGTTTCAAATTGGTTCTCTGAATTAGGAAGTGCAAGAATGATCCCATTTTAAAGAACCTGTTTTACAAGTTACCCGGAAGGTCAAATGTTAATTATGATGAATTCAGAGCAATCTATTTTCTACAAAAAATGTAGGAAATTTGAATATAATTAGGTGCATATTATACTGTAAATCTTAGTCTTTTCGTATCAGGATCTTACATTTAAAAATGAATAGAACTGGTAAGGCATGACTTCCTGCACCTTCATGTTTCCCCCTGTTTTTCGACTTTTTTCTTCTCAGGGGGAGGGCAGATATATTACTCATTAAGACAGGAGGGAATTCATTAAATGTTGCTCTGATGATGAAGCTCTTACTGAGTGAAACCAGGCATCCATAAACATCCATAAACACTTGCTCTTTGAGCAAGAGGCTTTACCACACCAAGAATGCATCAGAAAAAAAAAAAACTTTATAACTTTATGGCTAGCTACTTTGGTTGTAATTGTTGGCTTTCTCTCTTCTTCGTATATTCTCTTTAAAGGTCCTTCATGAGCAGATTGAAATCCCTGGCACCAGCCTTAATTTGTGCTATCTGAGCTCCCGCACCACTGGGTACAAATCTCTTCTAAAGATCACCATGACCCAGGCTGTGGTGCCTCTAAATCTCATTAAGGTCCATCTGATGGTGGCAGTTGAAGGTCACCTCTTTCAGAAGTGGTTCCACGCATCCCCAAACTTGGCATATACTTTCATCTGGGACAAGACTGATGCCTACAGTCAGAGGGTCTATGGACTTTCAGAAGCCGTCGGTAATTTTCACCACCATCTTTACAATTAAATAATGTCATTAAATAATGACCTTAAAGGGTCATTAAATAATGACCCATTAAAGGGTCATTAAATAATGACCCTTCAGTGACATAATTTTACTCCTATGTCAGCAGTGTAACTCACTATCACAGACTATATGAATTCCAAGAATCCCAATATCCATCACTTCTTTCCTACTCTTTCCATTTGTGTCATCCTACTAATATTAGTTAAATAGCTTTTCTCATTTTCCATTAGTTGAAAATAATTAAACGGTATTTTGCCGATATTATTTTCTAAGCATTAAGGATTTTTTTACAAAACATTAAAGATTATGATTCCTGTAAAGCAGTGTTATAGTCCTATTAATAGTTATACTTAAATGTGAGAGATGAGAGGCGAAGGTGAAAAGTGACTGAAAGAACCAACATTACCAATTGCTCTGTAGCAAAACATGACCTGAATTACAATCATATTTTATTAGCATTATTCCTTTTGCAATCCCCATATCGTATACATCTTTCATAATATTAGCATTTAAGATAATCACCACATGTATAATAATGTAACAGTAGCAAAACTCTTGCATTAATCTAGCTAATTACACTACAACAACCCAAGCATTATAGCTTTAATTCTGAAATTTAGAATCAGAAAAAGTAATGTGGGGATCAAAAAAGCACTCAACTAAATTAAAGACTTTTATATTATTTAAATGTTTAATTAATGGAATATAATAAGGTGTTTTAACATTGTGCAACTTCTACTAATGGATGTTGGCAAAATAGAAATTCAAATCATTATAAACTGAGGTGAAGAAAGAGAATTTGAGCTGCTAATTAATTCACATTTGTACTGGGAACAAACTGTATGAGTGTTTAAAAGGATGGGGAATGTAATGATACAGTACTTGCATTGCACTTGAAAGACCCTGGCAATAGCCTCAGCTGATTTACAAGGTCTGTAAATTGTGCTTTTACTATGGAACTTTCTTTTTAATGGCATCCATTGTGTGTGTTCTTATTTATTGTTTTTCATTGTTCTAGTGTCTGTTGGCTTTGAATATGAGACATGCCCCAGCCTGATTCTGTGGGAGAAGAGGACAACCCTGCTCCAGGGCTATGAACTGGACCCCACCAATCTTGGAGGCTGGTCCCTGGATAAACACCACACTCTCAATGTGAAAAATGGTAAAATTCCATTACACTCAGCACTTTCAGTCACGAACAGATGCCAGATCTGCCTAAATGAAAATCGTGTTGTGAATGTTAAAGTTTCACAAATTGAGTACTCATCAAAAACATAAAAACTCCCAGCAGCCACATCACCCTGCAACTCACCATTGGCAACCCACTGAAACTCCTGGGAAAAACTAAGGTTGCTGCTGGAAGAGGTGTAAGTGGGGCCAGCAGGGGGCGCTCACCCTGTGGTCTATGTGGGTCCTAATGCCCCAGTATAATGATGGGGACACTATACTGTAAAAAGGTGTCGTCCTTCAGATGAGACGTAAAACTGAGGTCCTGACTCTGTGGTCAATAAAATTCCCAGGATGTTTCCCAAAAAGAGTTTCCAATTGGCCCTTACCAATCATGACCTCCTAATAATTCCCATGTATGAATTGGCTTCATTACTCCATTCTCCTCTCCACTGATAGCTGATGTGTGATGAGCGTTCTGGCGCATTATGGCTGCAATCGCATCATCCAGGGGGGGGTTGCACATTGGTGGTGGTGGAGGGGAGTCCCCATTGCCTGTAAAGCTTTTTGAGGGGAGTGTCCAAAAAGCGCTATATAAGTGAAAGCAATTTTTTTTTCCATTAGATTTAGAATAAGGTCTAAGATTCTGAAAATGAATCAGATGCGCTTCATAAGCATTTGTATTTGAATTTCTCTTTTTTATTGGCCATCTACATCTATATCTACAGTATGTTCCATGTCCTAATGTCATGTTTCCGTAGTATTTGATGACAAATGACTATGCAGTCTTGCTCATTTATACATGTTATTTGGCAGATTATAAATGGTTCTATCAAGAAAGAATCATAACCCTGCATTGCTCTTTTGGGAGACTTTATGATGACAAGACGATTCAGTCAGCAGTAGAAAATGTGCATTCTCAAGTTTCATTAAAAATAAAAAATGTGTAATAACCCTAGTCAGTAACTCATTATCAAACACTGATACAGCAATCAAGAGCCAAAGTCATTTCCACATTACAGTTATTTTACAGCATACAATAACCTCAGTCTATTCCCATTCTGGAGTGCTAAATTACATCACTCGTAACAGTGTCATTCAGATACAGTATAACATTAGGGCGCAATATAACAGTAAGTCAGAAGGATTTTAAACGAAAACTTAAAATCTTTATCTTCATGTTGCTCTTTAATTAACCAGTAGCAGACCATTTCATGGCAATGACCATTCAATTCCAATATACTTGGAACTTTAACAGTAAGATTAAAAGAATTTCAAAGAATATAATAGGAAAGGTTACAACTTGGACTCTGGTCCATCTACCTTGTTACTAAGAAGGTTTTTGGTCTGAGTGATTCTCGGTTCTCTTCTGTTCAGTCTTAAATGCACTGCACTATAGTACTTATAGTACTTATATGCACTTAACTACAGTATAGTAAACTATCCTCTTCTTGATGTTTCAATATTAGTCTGGAAGATATCCATTTGGTTGACTTTGTCAATGTCTCAGAGATTTTCAAAACATAGAGACAAGTAATTATTCTAAAGATCTGGGCTTCTTACAGAGCAACTTATTTGACCTCTTCCACAAGCGTGATTGAGTTTTGTCCTGTCCATCATCATCATTAGAGTCTATTGTGAAATGCTAAATTTGTATTTGTGCAAACTATATATTCCTCATCACCATAGTATGTTTTGGTAGGTGTTTATATAAGACACAATACACAGATTGCATTCCCTCTCTGAATTAATCCGTGTTTTAATTAACAGGATATTGCACTTGATTAACAAGTGCAGGGTTTATGCTTGCGACAGCATGTTGTAGAGACACTTTGTTCAGGAAGCACAGGGAGGAGTTAGTGACAGCCTCTGAAGTTCAGTCAACACATCCTTCGTGTTTTTGCTAGCATTATAAGTAATGCCTTCACCGTACAACATCTGAAGAAAAAATAGAAAACTTAAGTGGTTCATAAATAATGGAATAAGTCTATTAAACAATGATTGCATTCACAAGAGTTCTGTTTTTCCATTTTCAGTTGTTTTGAAGGATACGGCATTTGTGAATAGTTACTCATAGAAAGAGTCATTTTGTTGAAAATCTTATGTACACACCTTGTTTTCAGATTCATGTCAATTTAATTTGTAAAATTATTATTCATAGAAAAAATGATTGTGTATGAAATTTTAGTTGTGAGTCATTTTGTAGGAAACCAAACTTTTTGATTAACTTTTTTTCTTATAGACTACTTCTAGTAAACAGTGCATCTGTGTTACACTCCTTACAGCTTTACACTATCTGGTCTTTACAAAACAATTTCCATACTCTGATGACCTGGCAGCCACTGCAATAACATTTTAGTCTTAAATGGCCTTTCTCTAATTCTTGTATTCAAATAGGATGTGTTTTAGAAACTTTTAGTTAACATATGACTGATAGGAAAAATCCTTGGAAGAACAAGACTGAGAGCATACTCAACTGTATGATAGACATGAGCTTGTGCATGCAGAATATACAAAATGCAGAATATAGAAAGACTTAACATTTAGACGAAGTCTTCAGGAGGTTCTGCTCATTATATCTAACAGGTATCCTCCACAAAGGGAATGGAGAGAACCTGTTCCTCTCCCAGCAGCCAGCAGTGATTACCAGCGTCATGGGAAATGGGAGAAGGCGCAGCATCACCTGTCCCAGCTGTAACGGTTTAGCTGACAGCAATAAGCTCCTGGCACCTGTGGCACTCGCTGTGGGCATTGATGGAAGCCTCTATGTCGGGGACCTCAACTTTGTCAGGAGGGTGTATCCTTCCATGAATACCACCAGTATCCTGGAGCTCAGGTAACAACTGAACCATCTGCAGTGAAATGATTGCCATAATGGATGCTGGTGGTGGATGCTGCACATTGGTGGTGGAGGGGAGTTCCCATTACCAGTGCTATTATTATGATGATGATGAGGAGGAGGAGGAGGAGGAGGCAATACAATGCAACATGGTAGAGGGGAATACAGTTTTAAGCAACAGATCATCTTAAACAAGTAATGCAGTGTAACAAGATATAGTGAGTTGGATTACAGCATAATACAAGGCATACAAAAATCAATACTTCACAATACACTGTACAAAGAAAATCTTGAGGGCTCTCTGTGAAGTCTCTTCTGGTTGAACACCGAATGTTATAAATCAAAAAGAGTAAAAATAGGTCCAACTAGAAAGCAAGATCTAAAAATCGCACTCGCATGATAATTAATCGATTAATTACATAATTTGTTTCAGTCTAATTTGCAAAACAGGTGAGACTCCAAGAATTCCACTGCAGGAAAGTATCTCAAAACACTAACAGTTTCTTGCTTCTGAAGTTACCAGCTGAGTACTGAATTGCATAACAAGATCATAAATACAGTTACTTGCACACGATTTTTTAATCAATGTGCTTCAGATCTGCCATTTTAATGCTTTAAAAAACATTAAAATGTGTTAAATTGTTCATGGTGAAATATGTAATAATTAATTTATATAGTGCTTTTTTATCCCTAAAGGATCCTAATGTGCTTTACACAGAGTCAAGTCAAATAATTAACATTCTCACTTAATTTTTAATTTAATTAGAATTTGAAATGACTGAAGAATACTACAGTATATAAGACAATGGTTTAATTGTGAGTGCATTACAGATATCATTAAAGAAATGGGTAAGATATATATTATTCCTTCCATTTGTCTACTTTTATTTCTAAATTTTGAAAATATATATTTATTAAACATGTTTCAAAATAAGGCAGTACAGTGGCACAGTAGTTAGCGCAGCATTGGGGTGCTGGGTTCGATTCTGGACCAAAGGTACTAACTGCTTGGAGTTTGTGTGGGTTTCCTCCAGGTGCTTTGATTTTCCTCCTACAGTTTTAAAGACATACTATGAGGTTGATTGACTTCTGGGAGCAGTGGTCGTGGTGTGAGTGTGTGTATTTGTGTCTGTGTGTGGCCTGTGATGAACTGGTGTCCTGTACAGGGTGTATCCTGCCTTGCGACCCATGCTTGCTGCGATAGGCTCTGGCTCCCTTGTGACTGTGTGTTGGATAAAATAGTAAAGGTGCATTTTGGCTCTGTTCACCATAGGATGAGTCACCTTGTCGCGTTCTATCTACCCCCAGTTCTTCCTCAGCAGGAAGTATTCTTCCTCAGCTGCAACATTGAATGAAATTTTAAACCTGAAGGCAAATGAGGGAGACATTTCATAAGCAAACAAGCTGAAAGTGTCTTGAATGCTCTTCAAGTATTTCTTCTTTTCATTAGCTTTCATTTTTTCCATTAAACTAAATGAGCTAGTTCATAAATATGGATGAAAAATCCTCCAGATATTTTCCTAAGTGTTGCATAGGCTTTAGAGGTATTTATAGGTCTTCATAAACACACGCACATTATGAGCATTAGACTGGCACACACCTAATCAATATCCTCAATTTTACAAAATGCGTAATCTTCTGTTCATTATCCAGGCATAGCACAAAATATGTTTGTCTTCTAAAAGTGATCTGAGATAATCCGTGGCTGAAATAAATCAGTGTTAGTCTTTCGTGGATAAGCAGATGAAAAGCTTTAACCTTGAGGAGGCCTGTGGCTATTTTTTTCCCTTCTCTTCATGTTAGTGTTTTCCTTAAAACTCTTAGAAGCGTTGTGCTTGCCAGTGCCAATCTACAGATTTTTTGTCAAGTGTGCAACTTATATGGAGCTCCGCCTCATGAGTTTTTTTTACTTCAAACAAGCATTGTTTCATTCAGCTGGCTCCCTGCTAGTTAACACGATTGATTTTACAATTTTGTAAACCACTGCAACAACTCAGCTTGTCCCTGGAACACCTAATCTGCAGGAACGGCTATTGAAGGACTAAACCACCCACACCAAGGAGCCCTGTGATGCAGGCTTTCTCTTTATCTTCCCTTTTCACCACAGAGCCTTAGGGAATGCAGTGTATGTCTTGGTGGCTAGGTGTGTAATTGCCCCGATGGCATTTGATGAAAGCAGTGAAGCATTTGTCAAAATATATACGATATACAGTATGGTTATAATTAGGTATCCTGAAGTGTGCAATGTTCTCTTTATTTCATAATGAAAGATGTAACTTATCTCACTGTATTTTGAAATGCATTGGAACTCATTGGACATTGGACACATTGGACTGTAGTTATCTGTAGAAAAAAGAGTTTATATTTTTTTCAAATATATCGACTTATTTGGCAGTATCAGAATATCACTGCTGGTCAGTTTATTTTAAAGATGTTCTAGAAATGTTTCAACAGGGTTGGAATAAGATAAAATGCAGTCACAATCAAACCATGTTACAATTAAAAATATTTTTCAGAATTCTGACTCCACATTTTATGTACAGTATTGTTGTTGTTTTTTTTTCATTTCCTGAGAGTTGCCTCAATACAACTGTTTTTTATTTTTGTCACACAGAAATGAAACAAATAGAGAAATTACTTCCTGTTTTACATTTATTGAATTTTTAGATGTAGTGTTAATTCATTTAAATGAAAATCTTTAGTCCTATGTCTATCTCATCTAATGCTTTTTCTTTTTTTCTTTCAAGAAACAAAGATTTTAGACACAGGTAAGATATGAAATACTTGACAACCTTTCATAAAGCGATTAAGTAGCCCACTTTGACAAAAAGGATCAAGTTTGCCTAGTTTATATTAGTGCACAAAGGGTCCCTTTGTCTGCACTGTTGGATGTAGACAGTTTGTGCCTTATCGCACTACACATGACTACACTCCATCGCATGCCTGCTTAGAATTGGCAGAATCTAATTACGATTATTTTAAAATATACTATTATAAAGCTTAGAATTGTAAACTCTCTAAGAAAATACCAAATGCTTTCGAATATTTTTGCCACTCTGCAATGTTAATGCAATAAAGCCAGACGGGGTGTCTATATACATCCAATTGACAGATTGCTCTGGGGCATGATGTCGCCTGAGGCAAAGCCAGCAGCCTGCAGTCCTCGTGAAGCTCACATAGCTCAGAATGGACTGAAGGCACTAGATTCCTGACCTAACAAAGAACTGCCGTGCAAAATAATATTTTGTTGTCATTGTTATGTGCTTGAAAGTGAAATCGGAGGTCTTATTTCTTAAATTTCTAAAGCACTGTGCTTATCGTGACATTTTCTAGTAACAACCCGACCCACAAGTACTTCATGGCGGTAGACCCTGTCTCGGGAGCCTTGTACATCTCAGACACCAACAGCCGCCGTATTTACCGCATCAAGTCCCTGACGGGCAGCAAGCAGCTGTCCGAGAACTCGGAGGTGGTAGCAGGGACAGGAGAGCAGTGCCTACCCTTCGACGAGGCCCGATGTGGAGATGGAGGCAAGGCGGTGGAGGCCACGCTCATGAGCCCAAGAGGTGAGCATTCCGAAATCATCAAGCCGCTGTCCTAAGTGACACTTACAAAAAAAACGCATTGAATTCCAGCAAGGCAGTGCAGACTAGATAGCTGTGCATGCTGTTTTTGTTAACAAAAATTAAATAAGATGACAAGAAATCAGTGTCTCACTCTTTACACTTCTGCAATACTGTAAAGAACTACCACATTGTTAGCTGAGTAATTTCTTAAACATATGTGCATATGTCGTTTGGTGCAGGGAACTGCTACAAAGGGGCATCTGTGATTTAATTTTCAATTACTGAAGCTAGCAAATCTTTTTTTTCCCAAAACATGTTCACATTTCTTATCAGAGAAATGTCTTTTGTTTGTAATATGTTGAAAGACTTACAACTGAATTTTAAACTCCAGCAATTATTGATGAAAATTTCAGAATCACAAAACTGTATTGTGTCTTATAGGCAACAGTAGGAGGCTTAACACTCAGTTTATCACTGATCTGAAAGTTTTTTGAAGGGATCTGCAAAAATTGCATCTTCAAAATAGTGACAACGCTGGCGTGTTTGACTTTGTCTCCCTTGTTTTAACAGATGAGATGGCTTCTGTTCTGATATGAGAAAACAAAATCAGTTAAGATCAACAAAAACAAACCTAGATTTTGAATTATTGAGACTGAAATTTAAAACTTATTTAATATAGTGTCAGCAATTAAGCTAAAAATCTGTCAAAACTCAGATATGTGAAGGTAGTCTCTCTTCATATGTTTGGTTTGCTAGCATTTCCCCAGAGCCTACTGTTGTATTTGTCATATGAATCGGCACCAGTGAAGAATTTCATTTTGTAAGAGTAGTTCAGGATTTCTGTTCCCTGTTGCAATGAAATGGAATCAAAATGCTGAACTTTGCAAATCTAAGAGTCTAAGAGGTGAGCACTTGAGAGGCAATAGTCTTGTCGCTGAGCAGTCTACCATGGGCTTTCACACTGAACAAATGCACAAGAAAAGGACTGTGTTTGTTTGGATGCTTCTCATCCATAGCCTTTACTGCTAAGTATTTATTTTACTGAAAAATAGATCTAACAGCCCACTAGCCATGATAGGAGCACGCATGGTTTCTTCATATAATGTAAAAAAAAGACCTATTCATTCTCTTTGTAGCTGGACTGTGAAGACTTGCATTTTAGCTGCACCAAAGGTTAGGGCCAATGTATAAAGGCAGGATCAGTGTAGAACGCTCATTGCACAACTATTCTTACATTCATTTCACAGAGAATTTCCTTTTGCTTCATTGTAAGGGTAGGTGTATGGAAAGAAAAGGCACAGGTATGAAGTAAAACCAGGAATTTAATTACAAGGAAGAATGTGAAGAGTTGATATCCAGTGGTAAACCTGTGAGCAAAACCAAGCTATAAAGCTGAGGAGTATAAAAATCTTTTTTTTTTCTAATATAAACCTTGCATCATGAACTCAGCGCTTAAACGCATATCCTGAGATATAATTAGGGGTTCTGTTATGTTAAAGTCCTAATACCATTTAATCAAAAACTGCTTCTAGCATGAGCCTAAAAACCAGGATATTTTTAAATTAACTAAGTGGTGCTCAGCCCTGAATCTGTGTGTCTTCACAAAACTTTCTAGTCTTGTATCAATAATAAGCAATAAAAACATTTATTGACATTCAGAACCAGTAGGAAACTGAAACAGAACCCACTCAAAGCACAGTTAAACTCTATGATTTAGATAGGGGTTCAAACTTGCATCATGTCACAATGTGATTTTGACTAGGATCCACCGAATAACAGGACACAATTGGTTCAGCAGTTCTTAAAGGAACAGCCACTCCTCTGACCCCTGGGCACCAGCAGACTCTTGCTTACATCTGTCAGGGGCGAACAGCTCTTCCAATCAGACCTGAGCGTGCTGTATGTTGTTCTGAAGCTTACAGAAGGTCAGAAGCTAAAGCTGGCTGGGTGAGTCGAATGGAGGAGCCTGTTTCTTGGTGTACCACATGTGAGCACTGGCGTTGTTGCTGTGAATCATGACATAACCACACATTTCGCCATTCCAAATTGGATGGGGATACTGTATAATAAACAATAACTGGCAATTCAAAATTGAAAAGAAAATGTTCAGATGTCATTTGTTTTTAACTCGGTATCCCGATTGTCCCTCCTAATGCTTTTTGTCTGATGAACGTGCCCAGCTTGCTTTTTTTTTATTAATGTGCTTCTTTCAGGCAGCACATGCAGACTGTTCTATTAGTAAATTTTCATTGCTTAATGTTGCTATTCCTGATGATCTAATGGTTTTTACTTGGCCAAGGATAACCTTTTAGCCTTTTACAGGGCTAATAGCCTCTTAAGCACAGCATCCATCACCCTTTATCTCCAAATGTACTCTGCCAGGCCTTGAGTGGAGCAAAAACAGGTGTCCAAAAGAGCATAGAAAACACCTCTGAAGAACACAGGCTGGTTTTTGTTATCTCTCAGCAAACACCTGTTTAAGATAAGATATAACACCCCCTCAATTCATATTTTTAATTAACATGGGGTTTTTTTAAAGAAGGGGGGGTTGGATTCCAGTTATCCACATACATAATTATTATGTTCTTTGCTTACTTTTAGAGTATTATCAATCTGCAGATTACACTGTGCATCCTCCCACGTCAAGGTCTTAAAGCCACTTTTCATCAAAATTACAGATGCAATAATTGAGGTCTTGTCAACCTTGTGACTTCACCTCCAGCATTTTTCCTCTATAAAGATTATTATCTTCCACAAAATGGGCAAATTCAAGAAGAAGAAAAGGAAACAACCCTCAGAATATACAATTAATACCTAGATGGTTTAAAGAATCGGTTACAGTTACTTATATTAGCAAAAAGAGCATTCAGCCCTTTCACTTTTTCATTATTTTGTCGAGGAGAATGAATGGGTTTCTTTTTAAAAAAGTGGTGTTTTCAACCAGATTTTTTTGGTAGAAATCTATGTAGATTTTCCTTTTCTCCACCAACAATAAGGTAGATAATCTGCCAAATCCTGTAAAGATTGTCATTCAGATTCAGCTGGGGATCAGGCTACCTTGCTCTACACAGGATTAAAGTTCTTCTTTGTGCTTCAGAAAGGCTGCGCAAGGGAATAGCTGTTTGGTCTGTGCAGGAAGTTCTGTTTCTAAATGAAAGGATTTTTAGCATCTGTAACAGCAAGAATCGATTTGCAGGGTGACAGCTTAGCAAACTCACTGTCTTTTTTTCCCTTGTACAGAGCAATAATGCACTCTCTCCCTCATTCTTTCATTCTTTCCTTATGGCACTGAACACGATAAAGTCATCACTGCTTAAGCAAGGTCACTTTTTTTAAGTATGAATAAAAGTCCTCTAATTTCTTACATTGCCTGATGTTCTGCTTTAAATACAAAGGATCAATAAACAAAAGTGGTCTAAAGACTGATACAAAGCATCATATATACATACTGTATAAATAACACCTGTAGAATGGAATTGGTTAATAACCCTCAAAAGTGGAATGGAAATATTTTCCTATTAAAAGTATTTTGTTTCACAGTATTATGATAATGTCTAAAAATTAAGTAAATTATGTGAAAGCATGTTCAAAACCAGGTAGGTTTAGACTACTAAAACTCATTTTAAGCATAATACCAGAAGTAAAGTCAACTCAAGGGAGTAGAGTTGTACTACTTTCAAAACTCTCATATAGTTACCCAAAATCCTTCAGGGAAAAAGGCCTGCCTAATTCACATGACACTGTTTCGTATGTTTTTACTGTGAACTTTAAGCCTCCAAAGATTCCGTTTCAGATGAAAAATGGTAATTAGCAACCTGCTGATGTGATGTCGTGGCCTGGAAAAATGATATAGAGTTTTGACACCAAACTGTCAAGAATGTCACTTTGTCACATCCATCTCAGACTGGGAATTTCACCTTATCAAAAGTAAAGAACTTTTTTTAAAGTCAAATAAGTTACTCACTGTTATAAATGAATGCATTAACTCTGTCATTTCTTTCACTAACAATGTAATGATTGCAGATCTTGGCAAACAACTTAAGTTTTTTATAATAAAACGTTTGTCTGATCTATCCTGCGTTTTAAGAGCACAACTTTTACTTTATGAAAGTGACAGCAAAATAAGTAGGATTAAATATAGTAATAGTAGGAATTTGGTAGTTTCCTTAATTTAATTTGGCTCAAACGCAACAATACGGCTCGGTAATAAAAACAACCTATTTAAACAGGTAGAAGGAATATCAAGATAGGTCTTCTAGGAGAAAGATATTCCTCTAGCTAAACGTAGCTACCTCTATACAGAAATTGGGAATTATTAAATGTAGAAAGACCAGAGATTAAGTTCAAGGACAAGTCTTTTTGACTGAAATGATAAATCTGTTTACTTATTTTTCCACACCCAGGCATTGCAGTGGACAAGAATGGGTTAATGTACTTTGTTGATGCTACAATGATCCGGAAGGTAGACCAGAATGGCATCATCTCCACCCTCCTGGGGTCCAATGACTTGACTGCAGTTCGGCCTCTCAGCTGTGACTCCAGCATGGATGTGAGCCAGGTGGGCAATATGCAGCGGGTCTGTGGATTAAAAACCTCTGCCTCCTGTTGCCTCTGCTCTGGTGCTGTATCATATTCCCCTGTGACTTCGTCTGCTCCCTTAACAGATGCCATTCAATCGTGCAAGAAATGTAATAAACAAATTAGAGGTGGATATTATTAGAAGGGACAGGAAGAACATTGGCTTTGTGTGACTTTGCTATTTAGCAAGACACAAGTGCTTACTAAATGAGGAAATAATGAGGGAATTTTGAATAGAATGCAGCTCTGAGAATTGATGCACAGCAGTATGCTGCATGTCCTGTCTGTGTTAAAAGCCATTCATTGTGTATTCCACCTTATTTACTGATGGTATCTCAGCACTGCAACAACAAGTACTAAAGAGGGTGTTTGATTCATGTTGCCTTATAAACGTTTAAAACTGATGTCTGTGAATTAATGGGGCTGTTTCTCTCCTATTTACATCTTTCTTTGCCATTCATTTTTTTTCTGCTCTCTTAATGTCATAATGTACCTGCTTTGAATGCAGCCTGAAAGTGTTTACATAGATAAAGCTGGGGATAGTTCTTTGTAAGTATCATATCTTTCCATCTGAACATCTTTTTTCTCCTTTCTGGTCTCTCTGATCTATCAAGAGTTAATATGTTTTTGACGGCATGAAAATAATTACTGCCATGTTAAAGGCGGACACTGATTAACGCAATTTTCTTTAGCTGCTGCAAAAAATACTATGTGGCTGATTAGGGATTTTAAAACTAAAGAATGCCTAGATATACAAAATTAAAATTTGACTAGATAAAGCATCCCTGATGAGTGCTACAGGGCTCTAGTTCAGAGTATATAGCTGCTCTTTTTTTATTTACCTTAGGGATTAGAAATTCGAGGTAGGGTGTCAAGGTTTCAATCCACTTTTATTTTGGAAGAACATTAAGTTAATTATGATTCCTTAGAAATCTGGTAACTTTTACTGAGAGGTTCATTACCAGCACATATTTTTCATATTTCACTCAACATTTTCCCATTTTAATTAATTTGTTCCCTTACAGTCCTGCTGTCTTTTTGTTACCGTTTAAAAGATTTAAAAAAAAAACATACCAGCAATAATAGCGGTAGTTTTTTTCTTTATATTTGTCCTTCAATTAGAATGTTCCAGGTTTGATCTGAAGGAGAGTTGATCATTTCAAATAAGTATTTGTTATTTCTTTTTTTTCTTCTTTTCTTAATAATCCCTAATAATAAAGCTTTTGAGATGTGTTTTTTAATTGTAGATTATTAGCTCTTCATGTTTTCTAACAACCATTCACATGTTATCACATACTGTATTACTTGTAGATCTAGAAAAACATGTTGAAAACCAAAAAGAAGTTAATCAGTTCTCAAACATTTCTATCTGTCTTGTTCTTATTGCCCTGGACGATGATCGTTTCAGTATTTCAGAGTAAATTTGCAGTAAAAAGATGTGGAAATTATATATATATATGATTTAATTGAGCTGAACTAAAAAAAAAAAAACGTTTCCTGTACCTATGTTCCACAAAGGCAACAAGAATGTGACTTTATATTTTGATAATGAAGATTAGACTCAGGGTCTTACCTAATTTCTTTGCTTCATAACCTTGCTTTTGAAGCTGTAGTAGAACAGAAAAAATCTTGAATAAAAAGCCTGAGTGCACAGTTTCTTTACCAATGTTGCATTCAGTGGGGTATGCCAGTAGGGAGCTGAATCCAATTAGACCGTGAATCCATCTAATCTTCTGTGAAGGAATTAATTTGGAAAGTCTATCAGACCTGTACATTGGAAATAAAGTGCATTGTGGTTCATTAGCACATGTATTAGAATTATACATATTCCTTCAGTCCACTAGCACATACTGCAGTCACCAACTCATCCATACTGATGTATTATATATTAGCAATTTTGGCTGGTGTTAGTATTGCTGTTTCTTTAAAGATGATGACCATCTAGAGTGAGAGAAATCACAATGTACACTCTTTATATTGAATAAAATGATTCCTGGCATTCCATGTTCTCATGCTGAACTGTCCAGTCTCCAAATGTTAGAGGGAGTCAACATTGTATTCAAAATTCACATACGTTAGTGACAATGATTTTTCCACTATTGTTACATTGCTTTACTGTTTACAGCTGTCCTGATTAGCCAAATATTAAAGTGAAGAAGATTATCCATACTCTGAAAAATATATAAAAATCCTGTCACATTCATGGACACTAGTCTAGGGAAAATGGACATTAGCTATTTAATTAGTTAACTGAGTGGTTTATATCATTATTATGCATCATGTGTATAACGGGATTATCCAAAAAGCCATGCCTAATGCAGTGAATGTTTTGCAAAATTGAAATGAAATGCAGCTTAACTGCTTGGTAAAAAATGCAGTTTAATACTTGCATTGTAGTACATCCCATGTAGACAAAGCTTAAATCCACATGCATAGATAAAATCTGAATATATCTCTTTAACATTGACATGTATATTGTCTTTTCTGTTCCTTCTGCTTATTTATTCCTTCTCTTTGCCCGTGCCTTTGGCTTTTACTTGAAATTAAATAATTATCACGTGGGTCTAAATGTGAAAGGAATGCTTTAGTTTGAGTGATATTAAGCCTCTAATGCACTTCAGTAGGGATCCTAAACCAGTCAGAAAAAGGGAGTATATCACATATATTGGATGTCTGTGAATCCAAATCCAATTCAACAAGGACTCATAGCACTACGAATTTAAATTCATATGGTCTACTTGATTAAAAACTGCTGGTTTTAGTATTATTTGTAGAAGCAAAACAAATGCCTGTTGTTTAACATTTAAAAAGCAAAAGAGATGCCTCTAATGAGGTAAGTGACCTTGGATTAGGAAAATGTTAGGGAATTGTGACCTTGAATTTTCATCTCATTATTATTAATGTACTGTATTTATCAGTTTATTCTTCTTCTCTGTATTAAAGCTCAAAAATGTTTCAATTTGTAAGCTAAATCTTAGCACGTTACTGTTGTTTTAGAGGGGATAAATGGAAAAGGAAGTGAAGTATATTTATGTAAATTGTTTCACCATGTTGATATACAGTAGTCACTATTGTGAGGTACTGTAAAAACAATACATGCTAAATAATTTATGAACATGGTACATTGTCAATAATATGTTTTGTGCTGTATCCTCAAATCCAATGCAATATATTGGCTGCTCAATTCAAATGTTTATTTCCACCGTTGGATAAATAATTTTCCTCGTAGGGATTGAATATCATCAAGCTACCCCAGTTACCTTACAGGTTTTCTCTGCCTGAACTTTAATCCTGCCGTGGAATTGTGATTTTATGTAACAGTATTTGTCATTTGCATTTGATGAATGGAGGATAGAGGATACTAGAAAATACATCAATAGTCCAAGCAACAACAAATCAAAGAAAACTGTACTATAAAGTGTGCATACTGCATATACATGCTTTCAATGCAAAACCCTGGACTGCCAGATTTCTTGATACCATAAAACAAACAACCATCTCTAGTTATAGACAAATGACATAGACTATTTTATATACTCCTTTGGCAGGAATCTTAAAATTAATTTATTTGCCACATTCTCCTTTTTAGATCATTACTCACCAATTTTAATATTAAAGGGCAGTGGAGCATCAAACTTTAAATATTAACAGCAACCACACCATTTCCAGATTTGTATTAATGCCCTGTATCATGTGTTTAATTTGTCACATTCTTAAATTCTCTTTTTAGTGAGGAAGAAATATCAAGACATCCAAAGCCTGAGGAGTTTGCATTCAACTTGCTGATAGCAGGAGTTTCCTTGTACTCAAATGATCTCACTCCCAGCAAACGTATCCCCGGTCCTACTCTCAACTGTCTCAATATACACCATATATAAAAACTGTTCGATCTACAATTCAGTTAAATAGCAATAATAATCCATCCATTCTCAGTAACTGCTTAGTGCAGAACAGGATGACTTTGAGCTGGAGCCTAACCCAGCAGAAAATGGACACAGGGCAGGATCACAGCCCATTGCATGGCACATACAGAGACGTGTACTCACACATGCATAAGGGGGGCAGACAGCTCAGAACTGCCAGTTAACATAGCCAGTATATCTCCGGGTTGTGTGAGGAAACTGGAGGAAAAGCACATGGCTAAGGTAGAACATACAGTACAAGCTACATTCAGAAGGTGCCCAAGGCTACAGTTGAATCCAGTGACACTGCTGTTCTGTCATGCCATCCATCATCGTAATAACAATTAAAATATATTTTATTGTTAATCTTATCGCTTGTGCTTAGTATTTTTTTTTTTGCTGTAATTTGAGAAGTAATTTACACGGTTCCTATGATATTTGAATAGAGAGACAGCATGGTTTGGGGGCCTGTGGTGCACAGCTTCCTATAAATGACTTCAGTCTTGAATGCCTTCTCAAGTTTTCAACATTACAAATCTGAAATTAATTCTAAGATAAAACACAATAAAGTAACAACAACAACACATTATAATACTACTATATACTAATAATACTTTAATACTACTAAAAAGGAAAAGTAGCTATAACTACATTATATAGTCCTCTGTAGCCCTTCAAAGCTCTGAATGTTAAAGAACAGCAGCATTTGTCCTTTTATTCAGTATCAAAAGCTGATTTTTGTTTCACTAAGTTAGTTTGTGCTCCTGCAATAAAATGGACAGATTTTTGTATTGATCCCTAAGACAGTCAGGCACGTGCTTCTGGACACAGTAATGGAGTCTGTGTTTAATTTTTTTAGGTTCGCTTGGAGTGGCCCACAGACCTTGCTATTAACCCCATGGACAACTCCCTGTATGTGTTGGAGAACAACATCATCTTACGCATCACAGAAAATCACCAGGTGAGCATCATTGCAGGGAGGCCAATGCACTGCCAGGTCCCGGGCATAGACTACTCCCAGAGTAAGCTGGCCATCCACTCCGCCCTGGAATCTGCCACCTCCATCGCCATCTCCCACACTGGCGTGCTGTACATCACGGAGACGGACGAGAAGAAGATCAACCGCGTGCGCCAGGTCACCACCAACGGGGAGATCTCCTTGCTGGCGGGGGCGGCGTCGGAGTGCGACTGCAAGAATGACGTCAACTGCAACTGCTTCACCGGCGACGACGGCTACGCCACCGACGCTACCCTCAACGCGCCCTCGTCCCTGGCCGTCTCGCCGGACGGCACGCTCTACATCGCCGACCTCAGCAACATCCGCATCCGAGCCGTGCGGAGCAACCCCCCCGTCCTCAACTCCGCCGGTCACTACGAGGTGGCCTCCTCACGGGAGCAGGAGATGTATGTCTTCAACAGGGACGGCCTGCACCTCTACACTCTGAGCCTTGTCACGGGAGAGGCCCTGTACAACTTCTCCTATGGCCCTGATAACGATCTCGGCACTGTGGTGGACAACTGCAACAACACGCTAAAAATCCGCCGCGAAGCCGGCGGCCTGCTCCGTTTCCTACTGCTGCCTGAAAACCAGGTAGTGACTTTCACCGTGGGCACCAATGGAGGTCTGAAGTCGATGTCAGCCCTCAGCATGGAGCAGGCTCTGATGACCTACGCTGGCAACACAGGGCTGCTCGCCACCAAGTCAGATGAAACTGGATGGACAACCTTTTATGAGTAAGCATCCCCTAATTAATCAGCAATTCCTCACCACACACATAGCCCTCAAGCTGCAAGGTGCTCATGAAAAGTCTTAGAAATTAGTTAACAGGCTACAACGTGCAATACATTCTGACCCATTCTGACAATGACATGAAATGCTACTCAGAATGAGAGCAGTCTTCCTATTGTAGTATCTCAACATCTACAAAAAAAGAAATTGAGCTTTAACACGTAAGAAGTCTTTAACAATAAGGTAAGCCTGATCTTTGATTAAAGGGATTAAATTACATGCTTTTTATCTGAATGCATTTTCTTTAAGCAGCCAAGGGAATCTGGTTGTGAGGAAACCTGTAGCTATCCGCTTTAGAGCAGGTTAGCCTTTGGGCAAAACACAGGAAGTGCATTTATAAATGATTTTTTTTCAGCTATAGGAGTTCATTATCTCCCTCCAAGTAATGTGCTTCAGAAATTAATTTTACAAAGCAAGCCTATATACAGAACATGATCGCCATCTATTGACCCTTTTTGTGAATGACACACTCTTTCATTGCCTTACCTAAAGTACAGTGTGTGATGAGTCAGACACATTGTTAAAACTTCCTGCTGAACGTATCTTCACAGAGCTGAACGTATCTACTCAACATGAAGTATTAAGTGTCTAACATTTCAATATATACATTGTTTTTTGTTATTGTACCACCTAGCTTTTGTAAACAGGGCATCTACAAAATACTTTGAAATTCATTTTATAGTTATCCTTACTAACATTTTTTCAGAAACAGGTACCATCATCATGGATTAGGTTCAGTCATTTTTTGAGAGAGGCTTTATATTTGCAGATACATTTAAAAGCCTTGTGGCTACATCAGTAATTATTTTCTATAGCCTGAAGATCTGGAAACAGATCTTCTGGATGCCTGTTTGGACACAAACTTTAAAAATTAGTACACATTTTTTCACATGCAGATTTGTTTTACATTAGTTATTCAGAGCTGTGATTAAAATAGACTCTTTACGAAGACAGATGAGAATGTTGATGGATAAATGACTACATTTTAGTCGTCTTGCTAAAATAAATAACATGTCAGATTTTGCAGAGTTCCTCAGTATTAAAGGACAAGGGAAAATGGAATTTCACTCTCTAAATGGTTTTATTGATCAATGGCTTATTTTGACAGGTATGATAGTGAAGGGCGTTTGACCAATGTGACCTACCCTACGGGCTTGGTGACTAGCCTGCATCGGGAGATGGAGAAATCCATCAACATTGACATTGAGAATTCCAACCGGGATGACGACGTCACTGTCATCACAAATCTCTCCTCAGTTGAGGCCTCCTACACTGTGGTTCAAGGTTAGATTGTGTAAAGCATAAACCAAACATTTTCTGTTGAAAACGATTGAAATATTCTTACAGTGTGTATACAGAATGCCAAGGATTGACTGTCCTTATGAGTGATATTTCTAACTCCCAAGAGTGACATTATGAGTGCAATGAAATTCCTGTGCTTGTATCGGTCAATGCTGTGTTGTGGTGAAACCCTATTACCATGACTTAGGTTCAGTAGATTCATTGCAGAAATCAGATAACAGACAATAGATGGTGAATAACAGTGAGGAATAGGATTTTCACACTACCCCTGAATTTTCACTGGACCCCTCAAATGCCCACCTTGTTTACCCCCCTCTTCCACAGTGACAGTGACAGTGAGGAGACAGTCCCTCAAGTGCATGGCAGTGACCCCCATTTTCCCAAGATGGCTCAGTTTATCGGGGACTCAGGGGTGCTGCATGAGGGGTGTGTGCCCCACAGCAGGGCCAGTGAAACTGGCAGCATGCCACAATTGCCACTACCCCAGCAACAGTCGCAACACATATAACTTGAGCAAGGAGGGTAATGAAATTGGGAACACTTTACAAAAGTCCAGATTGTGGGCTCCATGACCAGTCAAGTATAGATACACACACACGTAAGACACTAAGTAGTAGTAAGTGAATTTGTCCATTATCCACCAAACACATTTCAGAAGTGGAGGGGTGTTGTAGAAAATTCACTTTATTTATTGACTTTCCTCATTTATGTACATAACCACAAAACAATACAATACATACATTATACAATGTGGGATAGCACCTTCGTTAGTTAGATATTCAATATCTTTAGACAAATGTTTTAAACATAAAAACCTCAAGTTAAGTAAGAAGCATATAATACGTGCAGAATCCTGCTTCCCAGCTGCTTCAATTAAATATTTTAGCATTTCTGCCATGTCTTAGAGACCTTCTGGGACATGGTGTGCATCTGAGACCAAGAAATCCCAACTCAAAAACCTAGTTCATCCCTAGCACAGTGCTAAAGATGCTGATGTTTCCTTCCAGCAGTTTCTAAAAACTTGGCTCTCACACAGATGGTAAAATAAATTTGTGACATTTTACATTGTTTAGTTGTCACTGAGGAATATGCTCTGCATATTACTCTGAGAAATGTCACCTGAACCAAATGCATTATCGGCCAACAGTACATTTTAATTTTTACCGTTATCTGTTTGCGTAGTTGGCCATTTTGTTTCACACACTGCCTCCTCCCAAGGCTTATTTTGTTGCTTGGGAAAGAAAGAAGAGTTATGATGTTATTATGTCTCTCCCGTTCACTTGATGTTGCGACAGAAAAATAAATTCAGAGTTCTCTGGGTCTGGAACTTATTGGAACTCCAAGCATAAAAAGTTTAAAGATTTATATGGAAATCTGCCCTGGAGGCTACTATAGGGAAGAAGCTATTTGGCTTCCTTAAACCGCAAGTCATTTTTATCTTATTTGGGAATTCTGCACTTGCTTCAGGAAATAAAACTATTGTTATGAGCCAACTAAATCTGCTTTTCCTACCCTTTTGTGTAACTTAAAAGATCAATTAGTTAGATTAGCCTAGAACATCCATGTAAAAGCACAGTGCTTTCACGATTGAAAAACACTCTGGTTTCCAACAGTATACTGCAGTACACATAGGAAGCTATAAAATTTGTTTATAGTCTGCTCTTGTTCAGTTTCTGTATAATTTATGTTTTATTTATCATGTGTAAATGAAATAGAGAGCTTATTTATATTTCCAAGTGCTACCTCCTGTTTTCTCTATGCCTTGACTATTTTAAACGATACAGGGAAAAAATAAATAAATATGAAAGTATCATTTGCTAATCTTTAAGCCACGCAATTTTCAAGGTTGTGCATTTGCATCACCTCATCTGGCAATATTTATAATATAAAAAACAGCAGTGTTGACAGCATCTGCAAAATGTATAAATATTCAACTTAGCAAGCTAATAAAAAAGCTTCTGTCTGGGAATAAACAGAAGGTGTAACATTTTAACACACCTTGTAAAACTTGCTTCAGGTCGAGTTGCTTTTTTTTTGGCGTGACTTAAGTTTTTGAACAGAGAGAACTTTCTGTTTTTCACTTCTTTTTCCCCTTGACTCATTCACATTGTCACAGTATCTGGCTGACAGATTATTATTGTTCCTAGCAAGCAGGCAGCATCTCAGTTTGCCCTGAAAACCCAGAGAAAAAAGAGATGTACTCTTTGACGTTTGTCCCTTTCAGATCAAGTAAGGAACAGTTACCAGCTGTGCAACAATGGCACTCTGCGGGTCATGCACGCTAATGGAATGGGCATCAGCTTTCACACAGAGCCTCACATCCTGGCTGGCACAGTGAGCCCCACCATAGGACGCCGCAATATCACCCTCCCAATGGAGAACGGTCTCAACTCCATTGAATGGCGACTGAGAAAGGAGCAAACTAAGGGCAAAGTCCTCGTATTCGGGAGAAAACTCAGGGTGAGCAGCTGCCTACTGTTTGAGTTTAGGGAGCTGGGTGGGTTTATATTGATGTCATTACAATTGTAAGATTGCTAAGAAATCATGAGTTGTGCATGATCAATATTCATCTTGTTTCTTGAAAGGAGCTTATTGCAACCCAATGTGTCGCACAATAAAAATTAAAGGGATTACTGCCTGTTCATAGTCCTATCAGTGTTAAACCTAAATATCTGTTTCTTAGAAATAATTCTGAATACCTAATAAATTGTAAAAACCTTAATATATCGAATAAAAACATATGGAACCAGCAGGACAAACCTTATGTCCATTTTACTTTTTTTTAAGCAATTCAGATATTTCTGAACAAATGTCGTGGATAACACCTATTCCTTCTTATAATAATCCACAAATTGTACTTAGAGATAGTGAAATATTTCTATCAAGCTCCTCTGGTTGAGATGCATAAGGAAAGGAAGTTGTGACTGCCAACACATTTCAAAACAGGAAGCATCTTGTTCGTGACCCTAAATATACCTACACATGGCCATAATAAAGACCCTTCAAAAGAACAGTATAACTCCAAAAAAGGAAACATATCAAGTCAGTATAATTTAAGAAATCATACTGACAAAATAAATGACAGTTTTCAATAAATGAAGGAAGGAAACTTCTAGGAAGTTTCTGAACATCTACTGTAGGAAGTTCACATGTCCTAGAATAAAAGAAACCTCTCTAACAACTAACTGGAAATTAGACAAGGAAAACACCATGTGAAAATCGATCAGGTTCTTACGATTTTTCAGTACATACAAAGTGATAGACATGACCTTCCTTTTTAAAAATAGAATTTTATTTTATGCTTACATGATCTGGAACTGCCAGTTATGTTTTTTCACATCTCAGCTTGCAGCTTGCGATCCCTGTGACGTTAGGTCACTCATCTCGTAATACATCACAAGGCAACACAGCCCTGTACCAGAGGATCAGCACTGATTGGAGAAGAGATGCATCCCTCATCCACCGTACCACATGCCTGAAGAAACACAGGATGTTGCAGGGGCCCCTGTTGTGCTAAGAGCCATGAGACCTCAGGCCAATTAATCCCACCTGGCAGCACTCAGACAATTCTGCGCAACCCCTTGGGTCATCCTGACCACAACCCATGGTCATTGAACTCAACCTGCACTTTTGCAAGCACCATTACTGGGCAATGCAGTCGGAGGCCCCGAAATGAAAATTTACAGGGTATAACTTCCAAAGGGAGCTGGTTCATGCGACAAGTGACAGGTATTAAAAAAGTGAAGCAGGAGTCTCAAGTCCTATAAGAAGGCAATATCAAACTAGTGCACAGCAAGAATTAACACTTAGTAACATTCATGCAAACTGAAGTCAATACCACTGATCTGGGTCGGACAACTGATGCAAACAACCTTCAGTATTTATTGGTGCAGAATTTGATTCAGAGACAAATATCACCACAACTGGATATGTTGGAGATGAATGAGAAGGAGAAATTGGATGTACAGCCTGGACATATTCTATTTTTGACTAAATAAAATAGTATATTATTCAAATGTCTAAAGATAGTGCAAGACATTTGTCTATCGTATTATAAAATCGGATCAAATTTATGAAAGTGCTTTTTTTTTTATTTCTCCCATAGGCACACGGACGAAATCTGCTGTCTATTGACTTCGACCGAAACACCCGTACGGAGAAGATATATGATGACCACCGGAAGTTCGACCTGAGGATTATATATGACCAGCAGGGCCGGCCCTCCAAGTGGCTGCCCAGCAGCAGTCTGGCCCCTGTCAATGTGTCCTATTCCCCCACTGGACAACTGGTGGGGCTGCAGCGAGGCAGCATGAGTGAGAGGTCCGAGTATGACACCCTGGGCCGCCTCTTGTCCCGATCCTTCGTCGATGGCAAGATATGGAGCTACAGCTACCTGGAGAAGGTGAGTGAAGCAGCTCTCAGGAACAGGCAACAGGGAGCCAGTTTAGAATCTGTGCAGTTCTATTTTTACAAACGTGTGCACATGCACATTCATACACATACAGCCTTTGAGTGAGGAGCTGCATCAGCACATGATCTGCATAGGAGCAAACTGAGATTAACTCTGCCCTGAAAAGAAGAAAGAAGAAATAGTACACAATATTTAGATTATTAGCCTCCTTGAGGTATGCATACAGCTGAAAAGGCCCCACAGCCTAAATGATGCATAATATTCTTCTTTCTCCATTTTAGCTTACCTTAGTTAACCTTTGTTTATTCCCATACACATAGACATTGATTTCTGGAAATGCATATGTACAGGATGTTAAAAGTTAAATTAATTTTTAAATAAATGCTTACATACCTTACTTTGAAGCAATTTCAAAATTAAAGATAAATGTATAATCACAATAGATATTCACATCATTCCTGTTTTTTTGCTATACTGTATATAAGATCAAATGGTTTTTTTTCTAGACCACAATGCTAGAGTAGTAATTATACAGATACTGATGAATAGATTTCTTTTGTTTCCACAGTCCAGAAGTAATTGTCAAAAAAATCCACATCAGTCAAATTCTGTGCTGGCATGATAAGATTACAATGCTGCTAATTTAAGGATCATGTAGTATTTTATCAGTCTTTTCTAACACTGTGCAGAGGAGAATATACTGATTCTTTTCATGAGAGGTATAATTTGACTTAAAAACTGTGAGATACTATCTGGAATGCTCTGCTTCTTGAATTTCATTTAATTTAGATTTATCTAAAAAAAGGACTTCCAAAAAGAAATTAATATTATTTTGGACATCTTTTTCTAAAGTATTTAAAGCTCCATTAAGCTCCACTGAGTCACTAATGATGTTTCTTTTTGTTTCAGTCCATGGTACTCCTCTTACAGAGCCAGCGACAGTACGTCTTTGAGTTTGATGCCTCAGGTCGCGTCACTGCTGTCACTATGCCCAGTGTGGCCCGTCACACCATGTCCACCCACACTTCGGTCGGCTACATCCGCAACATTTACAACCCCCCTGAGAGCAACGCCTCTGTCATTTATGACTTCAGTGAAGATGGGAGGCTCCAGAACACCTTGTACCTAGGCACAGGACGCAAGGTGTTTTACAAATACGGCAAGCTTTCGAAACTCTCAGAAGTGCTGTACGACAGTACCGCTGTCACCTTCGGCTATGATGAAAGCACTGGTGTCCTCAAAATGGTAAATCTCCAGAGTGGCGGGTTTTCCTGCACCATCCGATACAGGAAGATCGGCCCTCTCATTGACAAGCAGATCTACAGATTCTCCGAAGAAGGCATGGTGAACGCTCGCTTTGACTACACCTACCACGACAACAGTTTTCGCATCGCCAGCATGAAGCCCGTCATCAGTGAGACCCCTCTTCCTTTGGACATGTACCGCTATGATGAGATCTCTGGCAAAGTGGAGCACTTTGGCAAGTTTGGGGTAATCTATTATGACATCAACCAGATCATCACAACAGCTGTTATGACCCTCAGCAAGCACTTTGACACCCATGGGCGAATCACAGAGGTCCAGTATGAGATATTTCGGATTTTAATGTACTGGATGACAGTGCAGTATGACAGCATGGGTAGAGTCATCAAAAGAGAGCTAAAAATTGGGCCCTATGCCAACACCACACAGTACAAATATGAGTACGATGGAGATGGGCAGCTGAATGGTGTGAAAGTCAATGAGTGGTCTACCTGGCGCTATAGTTATGATCTGAATGGGAATCTGCACCTTTTGAACCCTGGTAACAGTGCTCGCTTGTTGCCACTGCGCTATGACCTGAGGGACCGTATCACTCGTCTGGGGGATATGCAGTACAAGTTGGACGAAGATGGTATCCTCTGCCAGCGGGGTACAGACATATTTGAGTACAACTCTAAGGGTCTGCTTGTTCGGGCATACAGCAAGACCAATGGTTGGAGCGTCCAGTACCGCTACGATGGACTGGGAAGGAGGGTGTCCAGTAAAACTAACCTTGGCCAGCACATTCAATTCTTTTATGCTGATCTCAACAACCCAGCCAGAGTGACCCATGTCTACAACCACTCTAGCTCTGAAATCACATCACTATACTATGACTTGCAAGGACACTTGTTTGCCATGGAGATCAATAATGGAGAGGAGTACTACATTGCCTCCGACAACACTGGGACACCCCTGGCTGTTTTCAGCAGCAATGGACAGATGGTAAAGCAGCTTCAATATACTGCCTATGGAGAGATCTACCATGACTCCAACCCTGAATTCCAAATGGTGGTTGGTTTTCACGGAGGCCTTTATGACCCTCTTACCAAGCTGGTCCACTTCATGCAAAGAGACTACGATGTGCTTGCAGGTCGTTGGACTTCTCCTGATTACACAACGTGGCAGAAGATTGGCAAGGAACCAGCACCCTTTAATCTGTACATGTTCAAAAACAACAACCCACTGAGCGAAACTTTGGATTTGAAGAACTACGTCACAGGTAAAAAGAACTGTTGAGCTAGTATAATTTTTTTCTTAGATGTCAAAATAAAAGTGAACCTAAAGGGTTGTTTTAATTCTGAAGAGCTAGTTTGAGCACTGTGATTTGTAATTCCAGTCTGAAAATCTACACCTTATAAAAAAATAATTTCAATTCAGTAGAAAACTAACTTGTCGCGCATGTTTTTCAGTAACATGCTAGTATTTATTAACTTTTACACCTTTAATTCTGAAAAGCCTTTAAAAGTTCTGATTTGACTGCTCATAAACTTCTTATGTTGGTTATTGGTCCACAAGCCAAGTGACATTTGTTACTGCTGTGATTGTCACACCTCTAAATTAATGCAGTTAATATCCCTTTTTTGTTTGTTCAACTAGGATGCTATTTGCTGTGAAAACAGCTTCTGAACAACTGAAAAAACATTCTTATTCAAATAGCTCTTCTATTGCTTGTTCATTCAATTTCTGATATCCCGTGTCTAATTGCTTCTTGGTCATTTCTAGAATTCTTATTTATAGATTTTTACAAGACTAAATTGGTCTGAGGTGTATAGCTGTAGTTATGGCTGTCTAGCGCTCTCTAAACTCTCCCCTGTATGATAATTCTGTCTCCCCTGTGATTGACTGGTGTCTAACCTGCCTTGCACCCATTTTCTGTGTGCCTACTTGTATACTGCAACCCTGTATTGTACTGTATATACTGTAGACTAAGCAGTCATTGAAAATGGATAGAGGGGATTAATATACAGTATAAGTTGAGCTGTCTTTGAAAACTATAAGTCTGCATTAATAAGGAGATATGCTTTTCAACATTTAATATAGGGCAGCCCTATGCTGCCCTGCATTATTTATTTAAAAGTGAAATAAGGTTTATACAGAAGCAAATGATATTAAATAGTGTTTATTGCATTATAACTTCACCAGCTGTAAACCGTTATTAAAATACAAGGCAAACCTAACATGCCGTTGTAATAACAAGGTTTTCGGTTTACAAAGCAGGGAGTAAAAACCCCACAAGGTGAATCTTGAATTCTGCTTTAATATATTAAATTTAAAATTATTGCTTTAATATTGCAGTGGACTGCAGTTTCATTACTGTACCTTTGCTTTAACTTAAAATAGGTTCAAGTCAGCTCGAACTGTGAATCTACTGCTGCTCATAAACTCTTTGCTAAAAGAAATGTGGACATTTATGCTTTCTAAGCAAATAAAAACAATAAAAGGAATGCATTTTTAGCTGTTATCATTTCAAGATTTAAAGCTAAAATAAAAATCTAAAACTTATGGGTAAAGAATTGAACACTTTTATGAATTTTTCATCATTATTTTACAGATGTGAAGAGTTGGTTGGTGATGTTTGGGTTTCAGCTCAGTAATATTATACCTGGCTTCCCAAGACATACAATATACTTTGTGGAACCACCCTATGAACTGCTGGCGAGCCAGGAATGTGAAAATGGACAGGTGTGCCCTTAGATGATAGAAGTGTTCTTGCAATCATGAGTATTAATTTAAACTGATACATGGCATATGTTTTAAAATGTTTGTTTCTTTGTACATTTATAAAAACAGTCTATTTTATTTTCTACACCTACTGTCTGTTTTCTCTTTTGCAAAATTCTTAAAGTTACTTTCTACAGCTGTTCCTTCCAAACAAGCATCTAATTGGTTATTAATGCGTGTTATATTTAAAACATAAATATATAAATATATAGAGTGTGGACAGTACTGACATTTTTATCTCTGTTAAAAGCATGGCCACTTCAAACAGTCCTCAGTCACTGGCTCAAGCCATTATTAATGACATCATTGGTACATCATTAATGACAGACCTTTGACATTCACTGTGATCAAGAAACACTAGTTCTGTTTTCGTGTCAGCTTATGTTGAACACTTTGTTGCACGATGGAAGTACCTTGAAATAAATCATGCCCTTTTTTTGTGCCAGCATGATTTTATCCTTATAAAAGCATAGTTACATGGCCCTGCAATAAAAAGAATATCAACGTGTGTCATCCCAGTGCAACATGGTTTAAACATTATTATTTTTGTACAGAAGATAACAATGCTACACTGCAAAACATTGCAAAATAACTCTGTTGATTTAAAGGTTTACACCGTGAACATTACGAAACACTGCATTAGTTTAAGTTCTGGCTCTTTATGCAGAAGTTCATCAGAATACATAAGAATGCTTAAGAAGTAATGAGGGTGTACTTATGGCCATAGATCTAACACTGTACTGCAGACACACATATAGATGAAATATTACAAATAGCATGAATTGGGAAAACATACAGATTATTTTAATTTATCAGAGATTATCGGTTTTGTTCTGTCATAATGAAGTTATGGATTATTCGCAACATAGCTATGCTGACATTTGTTCTGTTTTGTTCCAGCTGATAACTGGTGTACAGCAAGCAGCTGAAAGACACAACCAAGCTTTCATGGCACTGGAGGGCAGGCTACTAAATAAGGACCGGAGCATAGGGAAGAAAAATAAGCCTGGCCACTGGTTTGGCACCAATATTCCCATTATTGGGAAGGGCATAATGTTTGCCGTGAAAGAGGGTCGTGTGATCACAGGCATCACCAGCATAGCCAGTGAGGACAGCCGGAAGATTGCGGTGGTGCTCAACAATGCCTACTACTTAGAAGGCGCTCACTATACCATTGATGGGAGGGACTGCCACTACTTTGTGAAGATCGGCTCCGCTGACAGTGACCTGGTCATCCTGGGTATAGCCAGCGGTCGCAAGGTGCTGGAGAACGGGGTCAACGTCACAGTGAGTGGGAGGACTCGCAGGTTCACCAATATCGAGTTTCGGCACGCCACCCTGTCTCTGAACATCCGTTACGGCCTGAGTCTGGACACAGTGGATGAGGAGAGAAACAGAGTCCTGGATCAGGCTCGGCAGAGAGCTTTGAGTGCTGCTTGGGTGAAAGAGCAGCAGAAAGTGCGAGACGGAAAGGAAGGCAGTAGATTATGGACTGATGGCGAGAAACAGCAACTGTTGAACACCGGGAGGGTGCAAGGATATGATGGCTATTATGTCCTGCCAGTGGAGCAATATCCAGAGCTGGCAGATAGTAGTAGCAATATCCAGTTTCTCCGACAAAATGAAATGGGTAAGAGGTAACAGAATAACCTAGAAGGGCCTTACCATGAACATGGCCAGGAGCTGTCAGTAGTGACTTTTTAATCTTGTCTCCTCTCCTAAGGAGATTAAATAAATGGGGTACTAGACTAAGCACTATAGGGTCTCGATCGAGACTGACTTTGAAAAGAAAATTGTAAACTTTACTGCCACAGGCAAAACTGACTGTCTTTGAAAATCAGATTTGAAAAGCACTCACATGAGCTGAGAAAAAAAAACTGTTGCATTAAGGTACCCCCTTTTTTTAAAAAAGAAATTTTAACCCAGATTTTTTGGGTTTCTGAAATAAAGAAATCATAAGGTCATGGAATGTTCTTAAGTATGATGCAGTACAGATCCAAGGATGGCTACGTTTATAGTGAAATGGAGCTAATGTCTTGAGCTAACCATGAACTTGCCACTGAACTAAACAGAGAGCTGAACTGGCAAAGAGCCTGTAAGGTTCTTAAGCAACAAAAACAACAACAAAACAACAAAAGAAATAATCCGTCTCAGGCCCTTATATCATAGGAAAGAAATGTCAGTTGCTGATAAAGTGAACTGAGTGGACAATGAAAAAACTCTGAATTGCTTTAAAACAAGAACAAACTATGGCTATATTTGCGGTAAATAATGTCATACATTGTTTTATTTAAAAAGAACCTACATTGTGTCACATAACACATTCTTCAGGGTGTAATTTATTTAGATGAAGTAGTTTTGTAAGTATCAGTTGCAGTAGAATTGTGGGCAATGTATCACACTGTTGAAAATGGGCACCACTGTACACTAAGATCAGGAAAACACTGTCACTCTTAAAACAAAAAAAAAGAAATGTAACTGAAAATTTATTTATTTTTATTTTATTATTTATTTATTTTTTCCTAGTTCTCTATGACAATCATGCAGGAGTCACCAGATATTATTAAAAACAACAACTTTGGTGCAAGAGGCATTTTTTTTCTTTTGTAAAAATGTAAGAATTGTTCATTAAGGTTTTTATATTAATTTGAATTTGCTGCAAAGCAAATTATAGTCACAGACAAAAAAGAATTTATGTAAAGTGTTTTAAAATTGTTTATACTTTAAATAAAGTCTTTAAAACTGTGAAGATTTGTTTTTCAAAATATATCTGTATGTACAGTGTATAGACTTGCTTTTATGCAGCACAGTAGAATATTGTTTAAAATTATATCACGTTTTTATATTTCTAAAGAAAGTGGCTTGAATATGTATGAACTGTTCTGTGGAAACCTATTGCTGGTATTTGAAAAGTGAACATTCAGTTCAATAACTCTGAAACATTCACATCATAATCCCAAAACACAGACTTTTCTTTTGCAGAACACTGTGAAGAGAGATATAGATATAATTTTACCAAAACAGTATTGATAAAGGTGTCAGGTGTATGGGCCAGTATTTCTATAAAATTACCATTGTAAAAATTATTATTTACATATTTATTAATTAATTCAATCCAAGACTAATATTCTTAAATATTAAACTTTGGGTAATGCTAAAGAAAAACCTCTTCAACAAACATAATGTGATGGAAACTATCATCATTTGGTCTAAGCCTGCAGCACAAAATTGTCATAGACAGGACGGAGTTATAGCAAGAAAAACTTAACTAATTAACAAAATTACATGAATATCCCCAGAAAACTGAATGAGCAACAATGTTTGTGTGAAGAAAAATGCCAGAACCTAAATGTATATGAAAGTATTTTGTTACTGTATGTTAGTATTAAAAGTTTGGATTAGTCCTGGCATTATTTAAATATAGAGTGACAGTTTTGCCTCTTTCCCTTTTTTTTCTCTCCAAAGTTCAAATTTGTGCCAACTTAATATATGGTAACCTCTAAATTGATACATACCCGCATGAACTGCAACTAAAGTAGAGTTACCATGAAAATACAGGTGTACATTCAGTGTTTTTCTTTACAACTAAATGAAAAACTAGAGATGTGTAGGACTTTTAATATGGTATGTATAAATCATACACATATCAAAAATTGGTATATTTCTAGATACATGTTGTTACATTTTATTTAAGAGCTGGCAAACAGTTTTTTGTGACCATGCCTTTGGATCTGATAAACAAGAGGAGGAACTTCATGGAGCTTTTAAATAGGAGCTGGCCAATAAGATCTGGACACTGGGAAACCTATCCATGCAGAACCTCTACAGCTCCTTCAGGTTGCCCAGCCTGTGTTTGTGATCTGCTTTCTTTAGCTCATACAGTACAGTGAATGTTTTGCTAGAGACTGTGATGACCAACCAAGAACACTGTATTTTATTCTCTCTTAACTGTTCGGTAACTAAGTTGGATGCAGGCCTTGTATTGTTATCCCTTTGTAAAGTGCATTTGTGACAAAGCTTGAACTTCTTGACAAAAAGACACCAGTTTCTGGTTAAGTTATCGTGGTAAATTCTGGAATCCATCCTTTGCTTATTTCTAATGATGATGTCAAGGAACAAAGGATGCAAAACAAATCTAGAACAGAGCAGATCCACTTTATTCTCCACAGAATACATTTTTGAACATGCACTTCACATTTGTACACTGATGATACTACTGATGAAACTGTCCAAAAACATAGATGGGAGTCAATTTAGTGCCTCTTTGGCAAATCCTTATCTTTTATTTATGTTACCATAAAACTTCAGATTTATGAGGCTGATTCAGTCTCTGATAGTAGTCTTGGAAACATTGACTTTTGATGATGCCAGTCTTTTTTCAGATATGTTGCCCTTCGCTATGATTTATCCTCACACATCACTTTTTGACTGCACATTTGAATAAAACGTTATGTCCTGTTCCTGGTGGAGTAGAAACCATGACATTGACATTTAATTTATGATGTTCAAACTGGGATATTCTTTGGGTTTTATGTAGATTGTCAGTATAGTAGTAGAGGTCAGTAATACTTTACCTTAAATCTTAAGCCAAACCTCTAATGTGTGGTACTGAGAGTTTTTCTTCTTTGTTGAGTCTCCTTTCATACACAAGGCAATCAGGGAAATTCCAGTATGTTTTCATTTACTTTCTGAGGCTGTGTGAAACTACCAGATAATTAAAAAGCATTATCGGATTAAATCTACATAATTGATCATCATCTTATATGCTAGTATTTAAATTTAAAGTTCTAAATGTTGTGCATTTAGAAGTAGATGTTATCAATTTTACAGGTATGCTGTCAATATATTCAGCATTTTATTTCCATTATTTTTTTTATCAGTTTAATTCATATGTGTTGAAAAATGTTGATGCACACCTACCTTTTTGAATATTCAAGTATTAATTCATCAAGTTTATCAAGGGTATGAAGAAATTCGGAGACTACTGCAATACCATTCTCTGAAATAAACTCTGTTAACTTTGAGAAGTAAAAGGGCTAGTTTTTTTATTTGTTGCAAGTATTTAGGGAACTATTCTTTTGGGATTTTATATTTATTAGAAAGCATGATGCGACAAGGAGAGGTTTGATTGGAAACAAAATATTCTCACATTTACAATTACACACACAACATCTTGAAAAAAATCCTCAGACAACTGTCCTCTTGCTTTCCTGTAATGGTCACTATGAAAAGCAACACACTGCCTATCTTCACACGTGTAAACTCATTGGTACTGGTAAACAGTTTTGTAAAAAAAAATGATCAAATTTTAAAATAACAGGATGCTATCTGGCTCATGTTTGTAGCTCTCAGAAGAACCTGAATGGTGTACAAAGTAAAAGACTGGAAAACAAAAGAAAGTTTTGTGTTTTATACTAGATTTAAATGATTATTAAAATCACTTGTTTCAGGAGAATTCGGTCCATCTTCACAGCATTAGGAGAATCAGATTCTAAGAAGAACTCAACAAAGGTAGTTTCAGTCTAAAACTTCCTGAAACAAATGTTTTTATAGTCAGTTAAATCTTGAGTACAACACAGAATCTTTTATATTTTGGTTTATTTACCTTGAAACTTATGACTGTTACCGGTCCTTTTCTTAGGGAGCCTAAGCATTTTCTGAAATGTTCTCATTACCGGTCAATGAACTTTACACACTTTGCAAAGTGTGTGTGTTTGTCTCGTGTCAATCTGTATGCAGTTGCTAACAATGCCAGTCACACAGTAATAGCACTCAAGGATTAACAGTGTTGCATTGCTCTATAAAAATTCTAATAAAACTTTTACTTCATTCCAAGTGTTGAGTCCTTAAAGTGTCAGTAAACTTGATGGAATCTCTGCTGTGTTCTCACTTGTAATTGTCTCATTTCTCTCCATTAAGGTAATGAGATTTTTTTTTAACTTAAGTCTCACTGTCTGTCAAAACCAATGAAAACTCTGGCTTTTATACTGTAGCTATCTTAGTAAATGGAATAAAACAGAGACACTGCTGTTTTTGAAAGCAAACCCTATTTGTTTAACCTGAAAAACATTATCAATAACAAATTGTCAGTGGTGATCTTTGATAAAGCCTCAGGATGGACATGTTTTTATTAACAATTTTGCTGGTGAATTTTGGAGCACACATTCTCATAGAAACTACTTTAGATTATGTGTCATGATAATTCAATTCTGTTACGTACAGTTGAAACTTAAAAATAGACAATGCAGTAAGAAAAATGAAAACAATTGTCAAGTAAATCCATACTAGTGAGAGACCAGAAGATGGCGCTACAATATAGTAATATGCCATAAAATGTTTCACATTAACAGCTTACTTGGAATTTAGTCTTTGGCTATCAAAACGATTCATGAAATGTCAGTGCTGTGCAGCTAGGGTCTTACAAATAATTACCACAAAAATCGTGAAAAAGTAAGAAATGCTAACCAGCAGTACAAAAATGTATTGTATTATAAAATTAATAAATCTGGTTCAAAATCTGTACAGTGGATAAAATGAGTTACAGTTATTTATTGTGTTGTTGTAGACATAATGTGCACAGAAGTACAGTACCGTGTTGTTTCAGTACTAGCCTGGTGATTATCTCTTTTCACTGTTTAATATATTCAGTGATAATTCCATTCCCCACGCAATAAATGAGAGAAGAGTCCCACACATAGGAAATAATGTATATTTATTGCCATCTCAGTGAAAAGCATTCAGTGCTTGTGTGGCTTCACAATGTCAATAAGTTCCCATTTAATGGCAATCTTGAAATATCTACTCACACAGACAATAAATGGACAGCAACAGTAGGGTGATAATCGTCGTAATCAACTGCTGCAGGCAGCTTGCATGAAACACATATACATTTGAATTTTACAGCCATTTATGTAGGCTTATGTAAATAGGTTTCTTCCAATAAATTCTACATAAGAGTACAATTAGGTAAAGTTGTCTTGTTACCATACTGATTATGTTATTTTATAATTCCTTAGAATACTGAGAGACTAATAAGAAAGTCACTGTAACAGATTTACATTAGGTGAATGATAGGTTTAAAAATGTGTGTGCCGGTGCACCCTTAATTCCAGTGTTGAAATCCATTCCAGACTGGCCAAATCATTTAAACTTGACACCTCTAATGACATGAAAAATAAATTGCATCATTCTAAATTCCTGTATTTTGTTGCATCTGTTCAAAATTTATGGATTGAAATGGAACATCAATAACTCTTTAAAACTGATTTTCGAAACCTGATGGATTTTTTCATCTAAAAAGTGACAGTACTTCCAAAATCACCCTATACTCTGCATTTCCCAGTTATTTCGTTTATTCTTGCATTTCACATTTCTTATTATACAAAATTATACTGTTAAGTCATACTTTAACAATGTAGGCAATGTTCTAGGCCCAGTGTATTAGACATAGCAACACAATTGCAAACAATATTTTACGTCTTATCCACTCTCTGTAAAATACATTTTTTTTACTTGAATAGTATTTACTGTAAGGTTAAAAACAAGAGGAGATCATTAGGCTCATCTACTGTGGGTAATTTCGTTGTTAGTAGCTAATAGATCTGAGAAACTGATCCAATCGTCACCTGAAAAAAAACATGGTATTAGCTTCAATAACATTCCAGACTCCCACAAACCTTTCATTGTAAATCTGCTTTAGTAAAGCTGAATTTACAAACTGCAGGCCAAATTGACAAGGAATATGAATCCCAATAACAAGCCCCTGTTGTACTGTAAATACTCAGGTAACCTGGAGGACAATTCCTAGGATACTGTGACTTACCATTGCCATTGATATGCAAAATTAAATCTGATTCTTCTAATTGTACTACTGTGTTGAAGCAAGCATAAGGAAGATCAGGTAAGTTTTATGACAGTTAAATTTTTACAATAAGTAAACAAAAATCCCTTCCAGCTTATGAGTGAAACTTTGCCTCAATCAGTCAAATAAATCATACTTAATTATATATTATAGATTTCAAGAAAGGTACCCTTTACAATGTACTGTATATAGAGTATATTATTCAATATATATATATTCAAAATATCTAAAAAAAACATACAAAGTAGATAGCTAGAAAAATAAATTAACAGAAGATTGATGGTTTCAACCCAAAAGAGCTTTCACACACAAGTGCATGAAATCTACCATACATTGGTATATACAAAAAGCAAAAAGTACTATTATAGTACTATTTGTATTAGCTATAAGTATTAGCTACTGTGCGAATATTTTTACTTCACAATAACAAGGAAGCGACAGTTGGAAGTACTTATGTTGCATCTCAGAACAGAAAATGAACAGAGTCAAGGGTACTTGGGGCAAGAGTGAGCATTACTACTTAAAACAATACACAGATGCAGAGCCAGTTGAAGTGTAACACAATGAAAACACACTCTGATCTACTCATTCTGATTTTCTTTGGTTAAAGCGTTGGTTTTCTGTGAATGCCAACAACCTTTTGTTTTATTAAATGGGCTTCTGAGGACCAAAGCTAAAGGTTACATAACAGAGCTTTTCACCATAGTCAAGAATCCCAAATCACCTCACAATAAATCCAGAAGAAGCAACAATGATTGAAGAGCAGTGGTGTGCAATGACCACTGACTAATGGGTCTAAAATTACCCTAGGTTTGGCTAGGTTTTTTATAAATCAAGAGAAACCATTAAAATGAGGTGATACATAACAATACCTTACATAGGGGTTTTAATTTACTGTAACAATATGACAGTAACTTGCAAGAATACTTGACATCTTTTAGGAACCATTCAAGCTTAATAATTACAGTTTCCCACATGGATTCTAAATATACAATATATATTTCATTGATATAAAACCAGAAAAATAACAAACAACAAATGTAAAAGGATATATTTGTCAAATAAGCTACTGTGATATGAAAGGCTGATCATTCACTGAGGGATTACAAAGATCAGAGTTAATAACTACAGACTTAAATAATTATATAATAATAATTATAATGTGTTACAGTCTGGTTCATAGGTTCTGTCAGTTTCATGTAATTAAATCACATTTATTCTCAGATGCAAGTACTGCAAATATGCATTTATTATTGTGAACTAAACATCAAACATGGGTTTGGAATATTAGTTCAACTCTCAAGCATTAGAACAGGACTAAAGAAGTTTATTCTAAAAAATTTATTGGTCACACGTCCTTGATGAGTTAAACTTCTCATTGATGAGATTGAGCTGGGGTTGGTGTATGGTCTGTGGTTGGTCATTGGCAGCTGTTCGATTCTCGGAGCATCTTGGTTGCAGAGAGGAATGAAAGGGCTTTGTCTGGCATTACTGGGCAGCTCTGCCAAAGTCAGCATCTCGCTAAACTTTGGTATTTAAAAACAGTCTGTGCACAGTTTGTCCTCTTGGGTTCTGGTCTCAAGATAAGCAGAAGTGGAGAACTCGGGTCATCCCGGCTTTAGCTTTGTTCAGAATATTTCTTTTTAATTTTGGGTGTCGACAAAAAGAGTCCAACTGTCTAATTGTTGATCAGAAGAAAAAAGCAGTAGGTTTGTGAACACAAGATTTCCTCTGTTGCAGAAAGAACATCCTGGGCAGGATTCTGTACTTTACTGAATCACTCAGCCTGGAGTCTTGAAGGTCTCAGGTCCTGAATCGGACTGCTTGTAGTCATGTGGTTGGGAAAAAGTCAGCTTCCCAGTGACTTAACCAAGGAAAATGAGTTGGGTTCTCCCTTTTAAACTATGACATCTCATTGGTGATTGGCTGAGATGCTACACTGTTCAGCTTTGATACAGCCTTACGATGCCTCTTATCTGAGGAGTCTCGTAGCCACATTCTTGTCCTTACACAAAGAGGCACCAGGCTGCTTGGTCAAGACAGCACAACGATGATCAGAAATCCTTAATTACACTTAATTCAAAGTGAAAAAGTATGATTTGCCCCCCACATTCATTTTGTATGTGTAAAAATTGTACGAGGAACATATATTTATATCTAACAAAGTTAACAAGTGAATGCAAATAGGATATAAATCAAGTGTCAGCTTTTACAGGAAATGGGTAGCAGCCTGTCTCATGGTTGAAAATTGAAATAAGCATTTAGTCTACATGAAATTCACAGAGCTCTGTATTTCAGATTTGTTATCTGTTGGTTTAAAGAGGATTAAGGGATTGAATTGGTCCCTCAAATGCATGATTTGCTAATAGTCACTGTACACCATGCTTCAAAGACATTTAACAATCATAATTTCCATGTTTCTAATAGACAGTTTAGCAAAAGGATATCAAATAACGAGCAGGTAATAGGATGTAGGCCTACTTTTGACTCAGCACAGACCTTATATTGTATTGTAATACTGATCAATTCACTGTGATTGATACAGTAGGTTGTGGATTATGCTCCTATGCCACACAAAGAATGTGCGTACAAGTAACAATCAACATTTGCTGTTACTCAAAAAGTGTGCACAGCAATAGTATAAATACCTTAAAATTAGGTCAAACTGACAATTACTGTATATGAGCTCTAATATCTCAAAATTACAAGACCTCCCAATGAAAACAACATAGATCGTTTTAACAAAGCATATGAAATGGTAAAGCTTTGTTCTTTTTGAAAGTGAGCTCAGTGCCACGAATGTTATTGGATTATGTTACTGTAGGGGGGGAACAGTTTTAATGTGCTTTGCTTAGTTACAATCTGCAGCAATTAATTTGCTTTGGAGGCTACGTTGAAGCAGCAGTACACAAACAAGAGCAAGTCGCAGATTAATAATTCTTTCATCAATTCAAGTGCCTGGGGGGAGGCAAAGCCCAATCATTTGAGGTTTACTTTGAAGCTGTACCAGCACACCTCAAATCCGAGTTGTTTCTGAGTCTCCACCAATTTTTGCTTCCTCATCACCTGTGTCAGCTACTTGGAGGAAGTCTCGCGATACGTGTGGTGAAGCCGAGATTTGCTTTAGTGTCTTCTTAGTGGGAGTCATGGACGATTTGAGAAGCTGTTGTTTAACAAATAGCAGAAATAACGTCTTCATCGCCCGTGTGAGAGAGTCTCCAGCTTTGGCTTGTTAATGTAGGGGGACTACGGATTAGTACCGCCAGGTTAGTAAACGAAATGATCTGTTTGCGTTACAATATGTTTTTGTTCTGATGGCTGTTGATTTGTGTCTATAAGCACAGTCATGATGAAAGTATAATAGGAAGGTTTCATAGTTTTCGTCTACGAGGTGCTGTTCTCTATAATTCTCTATAGTTCTCTATAATTCGAGTTTGACTTTGTAGATCTGGTAGATCGTGACATACATTGTATCCGAGGCCTCTTGATAACAAGTAGTTCAAGCACCGTTATTCATATTATAGGTCAATAAACCGCGATTGGCTAAAATTGGACAAATCAGATGACTAGCCTTATGGATGTGTAAGGTTGGATTCGATCAGCTTTGAATTATAAAGACATTTTTAATTTGGATATTTTGTGTGCTTTATTGTTTCTGTTATGATTAACGCAGTGCTTTCCTACCGACCACTAACGTAGGTAGCAGCACCTATTTAGCGTGATGCTTCTTATGAGCTAAACTTGTAGGCCTAAAGTAAGCGTTTCTCCTTTAAAAACAGCAAGGGTAAGCAGTAGGTGGGGTGGCAGGGATTCCAGCGTTTGAGTTTTATTTTCACCTGTCATAAAGTTACCGTCATAACTATTGTCTGTAAACAAGGATCGTGCTCTGCAAACATTAGTCCCAAAAAAATCAAAGATCGTAAGTGGCCCCGTTTCTCTTGTAGTGTTATAAAAACCGAGCCTGGATCCTATGATAATATCTAAGAATATTGCATATAAATCTGCTGAATGCAGTTAGTGGTTATTACTAATTTTATTTTCTGGGGAAATACAAAATGGTCCTACAAAATGTTCTGGTTACTTTCATCTGAAGGTTGGAAATAAGAAGGGTCCAAGTTGTTTTATCGTGGCAATAATAATAAATAAATAATTTATAAGGTTTGTAATAAAGTATAACACCTTTGTGGCTGTTCTTTCTAATCCAGATCTCAGTAGTTTATCCAACAAATGGCACTGACTACTTTTCTGTTTTCCAGCTCTTCTTTCTGCCTTGTGTGGTCTCCTAACTCCCTCAGGATGCAGGCACTTCCTTATAATTTTAATTGTCTTCATATAGTACACCTACGGGTATAACTTCAGACTCTGTTTACCAGTTGGGTAAGTTGAGTTTGTTGCTTTTCTAATGTTTCCAGTTTGTTCATGAAATGTTCTTTGTGGTCCTATTTATTTTTGAACAAAAAAAACTCCAGTTAGTAATGATAAGTTACACAGAGCCCAGATTTTCTTAACTCTTGTAGTAGTTTAAAGTAAATCTGCCATTTTGGTACCTTTCCACATATAAATGATCTTAATCTTTCTTGTAACAGAATCTGTTTGGAGGTGTACTTTGCCTTTGTATGCACATAGGTCCTGATGTATTTTACAGATGCTAACTTTAACTTTTCATTTTGATGCCTGCCTTTTCCACATTTGGAAAATAATGCACATAAAGGGAAAGCATTTAAGGAGACTTTATGAAAAGAGGTTTTAAGACATTACAGTACCAATTTAGTAAATTACTTGCAAATCACCTGGTAATGTCTCCCTGGTGATTGAATTTCTGTTCTTTAAAGAACCTTAAAGAGTTTAATTGGAAAATATAACCTTATTTTCAACCATATAAAAAATCTTCTGGACTTCTCACACTAACAAGAAATTCATTTAAAGATTTAACGGTTGTTTATATCCCTAAAATTAAATAATTTATGTATTTCCCAGGTGGATTACAAGGGCATTTTTTTCCATCACCATTACTGTCTTGAGTAGCTGAGTCTTGGCACAGCAGAATGGCAACTAGACCAACTGATTTACCAGGTGAGAAAATAATCTTCTTTTGACGGTATAAAGGTATGAACATCACTATAGAATTGATTCATAGATAGTATAATATTAGATAGTTTTAGTTTTCAAAATCCCAAAATCTGAGTTCTGGAGTCCAGTTTTAAACTATAGATGTCAACACGCTTCTATCGTTTCTTAAGGAAGAGACCTTGATGTTCCTCAAATGGCCAAACCACATCACTGAACGTGACCTTGATGTGAGAGTCTGTTCTCTGGTCAAGCTAACATAAGAGAAAGAAAGCAAAATACTAGTTATGTGTATAGATCGGTGAGCATGTACATTTTTGTAAATGGCAGTATAATTAAATAGGTTTTGTCTGTGCCAGAGCTCACGTTCCACCCATCCAGAATGCAAAGGGGGGGGGGGGTATTTGGGGATGCTGACAAGTAAGGAACAACATTTAGATTTATTTAATATTAGGCATGTGCATTTGAAATCTTTAATATCATTGACACGTGTAGTAGCTTGGTTGATTTTGACTGGACTTGTGATTAAAAAAGAAAACCAAATGCTTTGCTGGTTTGTGGTTTTATATGAAGCATGTCCAGTCCCTCTGTTCCTCACTTATGATGTTGTGTGAACAGCCCTGGAGTCAGGCACCTCGGAGGGTCTTCTGGGGCAGATGTCCATCCCAATTGGAATGACCCGCCGTGCCTTCAGCTATGATGATGCCCTGGAGGCACCCATGACCCCACCACCTGCTGACATGGGCACCAACATACTGTGGAAGAAACCTGTCATTCCAGAGAGGAAGTTCCAGCATTTGTCTGAGGTACATTGTTCTTGGACCAGGTGTCCCTGCTGCAGCTAGGCTTCTAGGTAACTAATCGTTTTTTTTTAAAGATCAGGAGCAGTTTAGCTTTGGTAATTGCACAGGTTGTTTAATTGTTTGTTTAATTTAGCATTTCTGTATCTGAGGTTGATTTTTAATCTGGAAAAATGACAAACTTTGCACCGTACCTTTTATACAAGAGCACTTGCTTCTGCTTTTTTTATTTTCCTTAAACCTGACAACAGTCCTGCAAGCTTTGTAGATCTTAAATCTGGCAGACGTTTGACCTCTGCAGGAGAGCTGAATTTGACCAATTAAGCCTTAATTGCACAAATAAGCTGTGCAATTACTTTTGAAGACCACAAGTCAGCATCCCTTTCTTAAATTTAAAAGGTTATATGTGTGTTTCACTCTTGTCTAGCAAGGAGAAGAACCTGGAGCAGTTTTGACCCACTCTTCCTCTATAGACAGTGCAGCAAAGCCGACAGCGCCGGTAGTGAAGGCTAAAGCTACATCCATCATCATGAATTCCCTCATCACCAGTAAGTGTGTGTGTTGGGGGAAATAAGACACATTATGTCATGTATTACAAAAACATACTGAATGTGGCTTGATCTGGAAATCACCAGCTATACAACTGAGTTGGAAATACAAAGAACGCTTATGTCTGTTAATAAGAGTGGTCTCTAAGATTTCATTTAACATTACAACACATGTTTGCTCAGCCTTAATAAATGTATATATTTATTAACCCTATAAATGTTCTATTTTAGTTAAAAAAATGGAAGGCTATGCTTGGTGAAGTGTCAGGCAATATAGATATGCCAGTTCTGACTAAAGAACAACTTTGCCATTCAGCCATTGAGTGGATGGAAGAATCAATCAATCGTTATGTAAAACGTGCCCAACCTGCCAGCATAAAGAGCAGATTTTTTCATCTGACTATATTTTAGAGTTAGACCCCATTGTTATAATTGATATATTTGGTATCTTTTGAAACCAAGGACATTTTGAACTGAAGTTCTTAACCTTACTTTTTATTTATAATTTACTTTACTTCTATTAGTCATTTTACATAGGGGATAATTCATATATTTATTAGCTTACCTTTTAGTTTCAGTGACTGCTATAAAACGTAGTATATGGAATAATAGGAATCTGATTATGTAATTACATAGATTGCTGTATGTTATAGTGGAGATTAAAAACTATTTCACATCCATGATTAACTTGTGAAAAGATTCTAAACTGCATGTAATGGCTTGGTGAATAACAACCTCCACCAGGTGGCATATCTGTCACCAAAACATCTATGAAAAGGGCCATCCTTAAAGCAAAAACAGAGTCAATAGCACATTTATTGTTATGCAGTTTAACATTTGTCATCAATAGGGATAAACACCATTGGGTCTAGTGTTTATATTATTATCAATATCTTGTTTGAACTTGAACTTTGAAAATAATGCAAGCTGTACTGTACATTTCTTTCATAGTTCTTTGATAAACGTGTGCCTGTTCACTGGTTTCAAACCACTTGGTACAATGTGTAATCCATACTAATTTCACAAAGTACCTCGACATTTGACCCAAATCAATTCCCTTGCCAATGAGGTAATAAAATGTGCAATAACATATTATGCAGCTGTCAGTCTTTGAAGTGTATCACAGTCAATCACAATTGATCAATAAATTATGATAACGAAACCATTTTAGCTAAATTAAAAATCCATGTTTCTTTTTTATAAAAAAAGATATGCACTCATAATGATTTCTTCTGGAGATTAGTATATTTCAACTACCACTTAATAAAAGAGATGAAAGCAGCTGCAAACTCTTGTCTAAGTGGAAAATGTTATCACGAAAGCCCACAGACATCAGGACTGAAATGTTCTGGGGAAGAGGCTGGAGACTGTTTTTGTATTACCTCTCTGTTGCTGCAAAATGTATTTCCATTTCATTTTGCTGTGAAATTTATTTTCTAAGAAGGGAGAAACAATTCATAAGGTAGCACAAGGGGAGAAACTGAGCAAGACATTTATTGCAGTTAATGGTGATGGGTTAGACAGACAATGGTTTGAGAGTGGCAGGTGCTTGTGTCCAGTGTGGCTGATGGACTCTTGTTCCTTCAGAGCAGACCCAGGAGAGCATTCAGCGATTTGAGCAGCAGGCAGGCCTGACTGACGCCGGCTACACCCCTCACAAGGGTCTGACTGCAGAGGAGACCCGTTACCACCGCTTGGCCGAGGCACTGGATGTGAGTCGTTGAACAGTGTGAGATCGGAAGCAGTCCTATTTAGATTCATAAAGCTTTTGTTGACTGGCAGACTTTGGCACATCTATATCACTCTGCAGCTCACAACTGGCAGCCCACTGAAGCTCAGCAGGTGTGAGCCTGGCCAGAGCTCCTGGGAAAAACTAAGGTTGCAGCTGGAAGAGGTGTTAGTGGGGCCAGTAGGGGGGGCTCACCTTGCAGTCTGTGTGGGTCCTATTGCCCCAGCAAAGCGATTGGGACACTATACTGTAAAAAGCATCATCCTTCAGATGAGACGTAAAGCTGAGGTCCTGACTGTCTGCGGTCATTAAAAATCCCAGGGTGTGTTACTCTAAAAGAGCAGGTGTCCTGGCCCAGTTGTTCCTAATAATCCCCATCTATGAAGTGGCTTCATCACTCTGTTCTCCTCCCTCCTGATAGCTGATGTGTGGTGAGCATACTGGCCCCACTTTGGCTTCATAATAATAATAATAATAATAATAATAATAATTATAATATAGCTGGTGTTGTTGACTTCTCTATCCTGATTTGTGATTGGCCTTGTGCATGCATTTATTACAACATATAAACATGCCACTTCTGCATGGGCAAGTCTGCATCCAGATACAGAGCTGTTACAGACATTCAATGCTGTTCATTTATGGAGTAGTTATTTTTTAAAAAAGTAAAACATATTTAATATGGTCACCAACTACACCATAACTTTGTTTTGTAGATGACCTATATGGGACAAATGGCCTTCTTATATTTGTAATCTATGATATTCGTATTATATCAGGAGACAGCACCGTCACTTTTTTATAGTAGCGTTTTTTGTTCATAAACTCATAAAAGTCATAAAACATAAAATTGTTCTTTCACTTGGTGGCGCTACATTCAAGTAACAATTATGCTCTGCAAAACAAAACATATAATTCTCTGTACTTGTTGCGACAAGAATATTGAAATGCTTTAACATAAGTAATTGTGTAACTGGTGTAGCCCATCTTAAGATACATTTAGGGGATTAAGCAGTTATTTCTCTGGGATGTCAGGGTAAATACTGCATCTTCAGATGTATTTTTAGGTTTTTACAAATATTTACTTAGCAGAAACAGTAATTTATCATATATATATATATTCTTTTTTCTTTTAATAGGTGAATCAGTTAAGAAACCTAGTAAAGGAAACCTATAGACACGAATATCATTTAATACTGTTGCTGTGGTCAGAAGTGCAAGTTATACATTTTAAGTTTTAAATTAATTGCAAAAGTTATTGGAAGTTTTTTTTCTACAACCACTGAGTACATTTCTATATATGTCATCAATAAATATAAAATCGTCTTCCTCTCTAAATTAATTTATTAATATTACATTCTCCCGTTTTTTTAATCGATGCTCATTTCTGCATTTTTATTTATGATCATCTTAACCTATAAAGGTATATCCCTACGCGAGTGTACGAAATATAAAATGTCCAGGCTACGTATGTACAATATTTCCAGTAATCAGAGCCGCTCTGTGAATTGGGAAGTAGGTTACTAGGCAACCCCAACGACAGGGCAGAATGGACCAGTCTTGTTTTCTAAAGAACCAGCCAATCCCGGCTGCACTTCATGTCATGTGATCATTAGGACTCTTCAATGGCCGAATTGAAAACGACAAAAAAAAAGGGGCTCAAACATGGATAATCTGGAGATTGCAATCTGGAATCTAATGAAGAAAACTATTAACAATAAAAGGTTTGCTATAGGTTTTGATACTTTGTTTTGTGTTGTATCTTTCGAGAAGGTAAAGAGCTAATATTTATGGCAATATAATACGAGGGCTTTATCGACTAGTTCGGGGCCTAGTGTTTTGAAGATCCTTGGTCTGCAGTAGCCTGTTTATCGAGGCACAGAATAAAAACTTTGGCATCTTTTATTTAACAAACAGCATTTATGTAACGGGCATCGGATGTGGGACTGTATAAAGAATTTGCTTTTTTTTTTCAAAGCAAGTAATTAGAACTTTCAACATTTATATATGTATAACAATTAAGAACTTGATCTGAACGCCATACCATTATTAAAACATATTTGTAACTTTAAGAATTCAATGTGTTTTTGTGATTAAAAATTTAAATATTTTATAAATTGCTGCGGTTCAAGATAACGTTTAGTGCTTTAAAGTTTTGAGCACATGGTTGCAAAACACTAGCTTAACAGTGACTGATTGATGCATACTGTTTTTTAAATGAGTATTACAATCTAACTTGTTGCTTGCAAGTTAATTTCGGAACAATTTATTTTGTTTTGATAGAAAGTTAAGTCCACAATCACTTTGTCTTAAGTATTGTTTTCTAAAATTCTGTGCACTACAGGCAAAATTGGGGGCTAGTTAGCCTTATACATGGCTGAAGCATATATTATGCATTATGTGTACGATGACTAAAGTCAGCCTATTGCAGAGTTTTGAGGACCAGTTTATATTTGTTGTACACTTGCCTAATTTCTCAATTACTCGGAATGCATCAAGTGCCAAAGGAAGTGGCCTTTTTGATCTGGTTGTTTCAGAAATTCTTTTCTATGATATTATTTTAGCATAACATTAGAAAATACAGTAATAAAGCCTTCTGCTTCTTTTTATGCAACATCAGAAAATGTACAATACTCTGGTTTTTCAGGTTGGTATTAATAGCATTGTATTTTGTCTGAGAACAGAAGATGAAGATGCAGAGTGGGGTTTCCAAAGAGGAAAAGCAGGCATCATCAGCACAGTCTACCCCCACTGGAACTCCTCAGGCTTCTCCAAAACAGAAACGCAGGTATGGGACTCTTTAGTGCTCCATTTCTACAGAAAAATCTATGCATTTGTCCAGATGCACAAAATGTTGGCTCCATTGAAAACCTCTAGTATTTTTTGTGTATTCTTAATAGTGTTACAACTTGAAAATTTTTGGTCTGTTTTTTAGGGGCTGGTTTAGCCAGGGCTCAACTGCTCCCATCACCAGCTCTGAATTTGGTAGTGCCAGTTCCAACGTAGATATGGGAGGTGGAGAAGGAGGAGGAGTAGAGAGGTGGAGTATCTTTGGGCCTCGACCAGTTGTGCAGAAATCTACTACTGACCCAGGTGTGTTTTTACTAAATTTCTTTGTAATACATTTTTGTATGTGGATGTATAGGTACTGCACCTTTTAAGTTATTTGAACTTTAAATCTTTAAAGTCACCTTGGATGAAGGCATCAGGTAATATAAAATTACCATTACTGTATTTATATATGCATGAATATTTCCTTTGTTTATAAAAGTTCAGTTAATATGTTACAGTACTATATGATGAATGAGTATAAATAATTGAATCTGCGATTAATGTCTTAATTTCCTATTGCTGTCTTCCAAATTGCTATATACCAGAGAATTTCTTCCTGAGAAAGTTTTTAAAGATCTGTGTTGCACTGGTGAAAGCTTTGTCATTTTAGTTCACAGTATAGGAAACCAGTTTAAATATAGCTTGTTCCTTGGTTAAATATCAATAAGCATTATAGCAGTAGCCCCTTGTCTTCATTATTCCCAGAATTTCACCTGCTTTCATCTCTGTCTTTACTGCAGTATGATAGTGATGCTGTCTGTGTTCTTGTAGGAGGCTTTGCTCTGCAGTCATACCGTGGTGCTCAGAAGCCCACCCCCATGGAGCTGATGAAGGCACAAGCTACCCGCATGGGTGAGGACCCTGCCAACCTCAAACCACCCAAGATGGAAATCCCCGCCATGGAAGGCAGGCAACAAGCATCCCGCCCCCACAAACTCAAGCCTCGGGACATGAATGTGCTCACCCCTTCTGGCTTCTAGTAGCTTTCAATTTCACCATAGCCAAATCTGCCCCCTCCATTCCCCAGGCACTCTGTAATAACTTTGCCTTTTGGATATTTTTGGGCTTGTTGTGTACCCCATTCCAGGTTCACTGTCAGTAGTCCTCTTCAGCTTTGTCCATCTTGAACAGGATTCACGATTTTAGAAATCATCTAGATGGTGGGATTCGTACCCAAAGTGAAAATGTGAAACGAGTAGATCGCTACATGTTTGTTTTCACTAAAGCCTTTGAATAACTGAATTCGTTTATCTGTGGGATTTTGAGGGATTTGTGGTAAAAGGCTTTATCATGAAATGACATCACTATAAGTGTGAGAAAGGGCTGCAGCCCTAAGATTGGTTCAACAAGCATTTTGTTTGTAAATTACATTGGTGGTATTCAATGCACGTTGTCTCCTGTGTACAAATTGGGTCGCCAATTTTGCTTACAGTGCTTACTATTGGTAACAATAACTGCTGGTCTACTACATAAACATTTCTAATATGTAATAAAACTACCAATTGTTAGCTGTAATTTATTTTTTGTTTGGGTCAGATAGGACTGATCTAAACTGTGTGATTTCAGTGTTTTGTTATTCCTCAGCAATATCCAAATGGCACCTAGATTTGTTTACTATTTTATGTGATGGGAAACATTCTAAAACTGCAATTCAGTATAGTAATCTGAAAGATAAACTTAAGACATTATGGCATTAAACATTGTTTAAATTGTATTTTTCACTTTAATTTGATTGCAGTTGTCTTACTTTCTGTCAGTGATTCTTTTAAGAATTTTAAGTTTTCAGAATTTTACGTACGTGGAGAGAATTATTTTTGTTCCTGATGCTTTCAGTGGTAAATAAATTCAGAACTAATGTGACTTTATAAACTGACTACATTTATAATTTTACCTTTTTCTGTTTATATTTATAATGTCGGAGAAAATGTTGAAGTGAAAGCAGACCTTCAGCCATTCTGTTGTAGATATGTGTTTCGCATCATTGGCTTGCTGAACAAAGAAGAATTTGTGGTTCCTTCAATGGTGGCAAGGTTTCCAGGTCCTGATGCAGAAAAGTAACCCAAAACATGGTACTACCCCCACCATTGGCCATTGGTATGAGGTTCTTGCCAGGCCTAACAGGGCCCATGTTGGCCAAAAAAGTTCATTTTGATCTGTCCATGGAACATTGTTCAAGTTGAGGATCATCCACTTTTATTTTGCAAAACTTGAGGTGAGCGCTCATGTTCTTTGTGAATAGTGATTTTTTTCCCTTGCTACTGTGCCACAGATCCCATTTGTGGATTGTCATTTATTTTTGATGGTGGAGTTATGATGTTCTAGGGGTCTTTGTGGCTTCCTGGATAAATTGATGACTCCTGGAGAGATTTTGACAGGAAAGCCACTCTTATGAAGATTTGCTACTGTCCCAAACTTTCTCCATTTGGCCAACAGGCCTCTGACTGTGGTTCAATGGAGCCCCAGAGCCTTAGAAAAGGCTTTGTAATCTTTTCTAGTCTGAAAGACAACAACTTTTTTTTTCCTCTGTCTTTGGAACCTGTGCTGACAAACTTCACTCGGATAAATAGTGGGTAGGACTGTCTGAAATCAGGCCTGATTGTTAACCAAAATCTTCAAAGAGCTGACCTTAATTGGGTTGTGTTCACCGGGGTGGGCAAGTAAATGTCACTTCTGAATATTGCATGTTTACCTTGCACCCTGAACTTTTCTCTCATTATTTTCTTGCACTCTACACTACACATCACAAAAAGATCTAACCAAATGCACTGAAGAATTCTGCAAATTTGCTGAAAATCAGAGGGCAAATACTTTTTCATGGTACTCTGTTAAACACATTTGCTACTCAGCAAAATAGACCATCTCAGAACTGTTGTTGGAGTGCCAGTAAATTAAAATCTTCTAAGACAAGTGAATTACCGGCGAAAACTGCAACCAAGAGAAAAACAAATAGCACAAAAGCAAAAGGCTGTGATGAGAGAAAGGAGAGGGAAAACATTCAGACACATCTAAGATGTCTGTGAAATAAAGCTAATGGTTATTGGCAAAGAGTTGGTTAATTAATGGAGTTGAACAAATAAAAATGAAAAATGTGATTCTGTAGAGATGCAAATATTTCAGCCTTTTTTTGCTCTCCTTGCATTACGAGTTAAGCACTCTTGCCTATATAACACGTGCTCTCCAGTAAACACCACTCGGGTACTTCTTAAAAGCAATTTATTTTAGCAATTACATAAACTTTTTTTTAAAGCTGGACATACACGGTCATAAATTACAATCTTAAAAAAATCTCACTATAACTTGTTTTCCCTACCTAATTTTTCTTTTTCACAGTACAGCTCTACTATGTATAAAAAAAATCCCTCTGCATTTTTTTTGGAAGATAAAGGATATGGATTTTTTATGTTGATTAAAAGTTTTTGGTGTCATTTTGATTATTTTTTTGACAATGCTTTGACTGTTGCATAACATGCTATTTGGCATAATGAATTTACCTGTGTTTGTGGCAGTTAAAAGTGTTGAGTTTCTTCTTTAGAAGCTCGGTACATTTATAAAACACAAGGGCAAATTCATGCTTAAAAATTCTCAACTGTACATATTTTTGATGCTTAGGTTGATAAGCTATCAAAAATGTCTAAAAAAAATATATAAAAAGTATGGACATCTGGTGTATATGTTGCTCTCAATATTAACAGCAGAAGGCACTCTTAAATTGCCCCCAAAGCTTTTATAAAATAAGTTATATACTAATTGTTTATGCAAAATTATAAAAGGATACTGTACACGGACAGCATTTTGTTTTCTTTAGTAATACCATAGGTAAGGATCCAGCCGTGACTACAAGCCAGTTTCACCTTTGTGTTTAGAAGCAGGTGACTTAGAAAACCACCGGACTGTAGTTGGCTTTCTTTGATGGTGAACTGTGTGACAAATTTAAAAAAAGGCAATAATTTATATAACAGATTTAAAAATATTTATAAAAGGTTAAAAAAAAAAATCTAAAAAAATTCATCTTCCTTCGTAACTGCTCCCTGGAGAAGAGACTGAAGCAGATGGATTCGCTGTTCCAGTTGAGAATTCAGAGGCTCACCCAGATCTCTGGCAACTCTATTACAAAAAGCATCAGCTGCCTCCTGAACCGCTGCCTGGGTGATCCTGTCATTCTTGATGGGCGCTGTGCCAGAGCGGGCACGTTCTGTGATGGAGTACCTCAAATGACCTGCAGAAGGAAGACGACGATTTACTTGCAGACATCTGGTAAGATTCGCGTGCCGTTAACAAAAGGGTAGAATATTCGACTACTCCAAAATTCATTTCCTGCTCTAAGAGAGGTTTGCAATGCTGTTCGACCACCTGAACACGGGTATCAGATGCAGGAAATCTCTCACCTGCTAGGACTTCCCCATAACTGACAAAGAGCATAAACAACATCTCAAGCAGCTCGTTCCATCGTAGCCAGCGGTCTCCATTGCCATCCTGAAAAAATTGAAATATATTTAAGGAATGTAGTGTTCTATCTTCAACCAACTGCCATTTTTAAAACAGCCATAAGCTATAATTTAAACAAGATGATGCCTATAAAGTAATACTACCAAGCTGGGTTCTTGATTAAATATTATAGCAATCATAACCTTTTCTGAATTAAAATGATTAAAAGGAGATTCATTCAAATATTTCATTGGGGGATGTGTAGCGTTGGTCTAAAAAAATGCATCCTTCATAACACGCATTCAATGTGAACACAGTTTTCAGCACCTACTGTAGGGTCTAAAGGGAGCTCAGTGTTTTGCAGGAAGTGCAGCAGGAGACTCAGTGACATGGGCATTGTGGTCTTCTGGGGGCAGGCGTGATCCAGTAGTAGCTCGAGCAGCTTGCACTGCAGGAGCTTGCTCTCCATGGTCTTCAGCAGCTGTAACCTGAGAAACACGAAAGAAAACAATAACAAATCTTAGACTATTTCTCAGTGAAAGCAGACAACCATCCTGTTGTACATTTGTGTTTCGGATCATCGTCTTTATAAAAATACTACTACTAATGATAATAATTACTATTATTCCTTACACGCATTTTTGTGGATGTTCCCCTCAAGGAGCTTTTAATAGGGTAATAGGGATTCCCCTCCACAACCACTAATGAGTAGTCCCTCTTGGATGAACAGGAAACCAAGGTAACATTTATTTTTAATAACCATGGAGATTCAGGACCTCGGTTTTATGTCTCATCCAAGGGCAGTGCCTCTTTTGACATTACAGTGTTCCTGTCAGGACAACAGGATCACCTGCACTTTTTTTTTTAATAACCATGAACAGTCAGGACTTTGGTTTAATGAACAACAGTGCCTTTTTGCAGTATAGTATCCCTATACTGCAGGGTGTAGGGTGAACACCCCCTACTGGCCCCATTAACACCTCTTCCAGTAGCAACCTTAGCTTTCCCAAGACGTCTCCCATTCAAGCACTGACCTGGCCCACACCTACTGAGCTTCAGTAGATTGCCAGTTGTGAGTTGCAGGGTGATATAGCTTCTTTCACAGGAAATCAGATAGCCACAGTTCTGAGATCTGATCAATGCGGAATTTGAGCAGTATTTAACGAAGTGTTTAAAAAAAGGCAATGGCAGATCTGGAGTTTTTTTTACATTAAACCAATAATACAACAATGGTAACTTCCTGTAATCTATGTATCTCTTTTGCTTGTCTGCTGCAAGTTCAGAACTCCTCCTCTAACCTGTGGTGCCGGTGAGGAACAGTGTTGACGAGAGTGTGGAACATCTCCCTGGAGAGTTTACTGGAGCTGCAGGTAGGGGAACGATCAACCTCTATAGCGAGGGCTAACATTTTTTGGAGAAGGAACACTATTCTGCACGAGAAGACAAGACAAGATGAAAAAGGAACGTATCATTGACCAACATAAAAAACTTTCCACATTTTAAAAAATAATATTTTTTCCCCAAAAGCCTATAACTTGTATAATTCTGCGTATTTAGAAAGTAAGGTCACAAACAAGTGACCTTCTGGCTTTCACTGTTTTTTTAAATGGAATTTTGAGTTCAAGAATTAGTTGCTTATTGCCAGGCAAGACATGCTTTTTGGAAAAAGAAAACTTAAAACTGTAAGAAAATAAGAAACATGATGACGCTATTCATCCACACAAAATGTTGCCTGTAATTTCATGAACATTTCTTTCCTTTCAGATTACATATACATTTTGCAATGCTGGCCACACATGAAATTCAGTTCCACCAAGCTTCTGTTTGCTCTTTTCCAGGCGGAACAGAAATATTGTGATTTTAAGTTTATATGCATATTCAATCCACAATTTAAACGTCTTCAGCACATGATTAAAATCAAATGGAACTCAGATAAATACAACTGTGCATCTGTGTTCTTTCATAAACTGGAAGTAAACTTACTTTAAATAGTTGTCTCTGTCCTGTTTTCTCTCTGTATCCTCTTCATTTAATCTTTTGTTCACTTCAGGTTCAGCGGTGGAGTTCATGACAGCAGTTGTAAGCCAGTTGACCACATCCCTGTAAAATAGATTTTTTTATTAACTTGCATCTATTTGGCTAATTAATATAAAATGAAGAAACTAACTTTCAAAACATTTTAAAACTGTAGTACTATTTTTCTGTTCCCCATTTTAAGGGCACTAAGAAAATCTGATTAGAAAGATGCAGTTTTATATTTTAACTACCTTTTTATTACAAGGCACAGTACTTAGAAACAGTAATCTAGAAATTGAAAATGTACATTTTGATCTTTGATTTTACAAGCTCTTTTAAACAACTTCAAAACATTGAAAATAAAAACATTATGGTATGTGCAGTGGGTTGCATTTGTGCACATTTTGGAAGCATTTAGTGTTTAAACATATTGAATGAGGCTTTATTTGAAACCAAGACTGAATTGTGTTAACATGTTATGAGTAAAAATATTATTTTTTAGTTTCACATTTCTTCGTACAAACCGTACAAACAAGACGTAAGCCTTGCACTACTAGTGAGACTGGTAATTCCAGAGATAACACTGACTACCCTGGGAATTTTCTGACCTGACATTTGCAAACTTCCTGTCACAAGAGAGTGTTGCCTTCACGATGGAGCGATGTAGTTCCTGCAGTGTCACCCTGCGATGAAAGTCATCCTCTAGGGTTTGCAGTACGTAGTGTAGAAGCATGCTCAGCACAGCTGGGGGGTGTTTCTTCAGACATTTCCGACAGAAAGACAGTAAGATACAACTTTAGAAGGATGTACAGTACAAGCTATCGCATTCGGCAGCCCCTACGTTGGATGGAAAAGTGGAAACGAGTTTCAGGTTGAAGCAGCTAAGCTATAAATTACTACCTGACCACAGGGTATATTCCCAGATAGGGTCTGTTTGAGGAAGTATCTTAAATCCATGTTTTTCTTTACAAAAACAGATACACTCTAGTAAGTAAGGCATTCAATTAAAAAAAATATATTTTTTCAAATGACTAAAAGCATACTAACAAATATCAGGGACTCAAGGAATGAATTTTCAGAAGAAATGTTTTGGGAAATGTTGAACATAGAAGATGTGAGGAAGAGGTCTTTTTTTCCAATTGAGCTTTCACTTATTTAATTGAACAAGATTTAATTGACCTTTTTTGGTACTTGTGGAGTTGCAGATTTAAATGCAGCTGCAAAATTATATAATTAACTTGAAATTAACAATTAGGTCATATTAAGATAAAGGTGAGTCATAAGTTCAATTTAAATAAAGCAGTCTATTAGGCAAAAAATAAAAAAATGGCTCTTCCAGTTCCACAATAAGCTTAGCAAGCCCTGTCAAAACTTTTAAAGGAGACTCAGAAATATGGCAACCTTACTAATGGCTCACATTTCACAGCTATACCACAGCTGTATTTTATAATTACACCCAAGAGTTATTCACTCACAAAAGTGTGAGATATTGTTGCATGTTACCCGTGTATTAAAAGGAAACCAGGGGCTTTCCTCCTACCTTTTCATCCATTGCAGATGAAAGAAGCTCCCAGTCCCACTGCACTGTAGACTGTTTAGCTGGATGAAGCCTGCAAAACAGGTCACATTATTAATTAGTTGAGCATGAATTAATGACTGATCTTCTGAATTCCCTTCCATGAAAAAAAAAGGTTTTAAATGAGTCAGATTTAGTAAGAGAAATGCAACCTCAACCTCATAATTGTACAGCTTGTTCTTTTACATAAGAGGCCCCATGAGAAAGCATTTTTCAGGTGGGCATTCCTTCTAGATCACCTATTCAGTGTATATACAGCAGTAACTTACACACTTAAAAACAGCCAAATCTTTGATGTAGATGTTTCAGTACAAAAGCATGGTTCTCATTATTTTTTTTCCTTTTGGCTTTCTCTTATAAATGTATATTTTTTCTAAGCAATATTATTTACATGTAAACTTTCCTTGTTTTTTTTTGTAGAATACATTAAAGTGGTGTTTTTTTACCTAGATGGAAAGCAACCTTCCCCATCCACACCATAAAAAGGAACACATTCACTTACTGTTGGATCTTCATGAGTAGGTTGTAGGCCTCAGTCACCCGGATAGAGCTCTGCGATTCCAAGAGGAGTTTGCGGAGAACATGGGAGACAATATCACCAGTTGGGTAAAAGCAAGGGTGGAGGAAGTCCAATACAAACTGCAGAGTGCCCTCAGGGTAATTCTCTTCCATAGTGGTATGAACGAGTCTCAAACTCCGGTGACATATGGGCTGTGCCGTCCCATCGTCCTCGTCGTCATCAGACTGGCTCAGATCAGGGTCATACTGGAATACCAGAAAATAAATAGTTTTTGTACAAAGTTTTCTTATCAGAAAACCTAATATTTCTTTACTCTGGCCTATCTTTACTTTAGCTGGTACAAGAAAGCTGATAGGGAGGCACAGTGGTTAGCACACTTTCTGCTACCTCGCAGAGCCAGGGAACTGGGTTCAATTCCTGGGGTGCTACCTGCATGAGGCTTGTATGTTCTTCCCATGTTCAGGTGTGTTCAGGTTTCGTCCCACACTCATAAATCATACTGGGAGTTTATGTGGTAATTTGGGAAACTGGCCCTGGTTTGAATATGTTTGTGTCTATCTGCCCTGTGATGGGCTGGTATCACATCCAGGGTGTACACTGCCTTGCACCCATTGCTTGCTGGGATAGGCTCTGGTTCCCCCATGATCCTGAATGGGCTGAAGTGGTTAGAAAATGGGTGGATGGAAGACAGTAGATAATGGCACACGTATCCAACTAAAATGAAATGAGAACACTTTTTTACCTGTCACACTTGTCTTTCATGTCCTATCAAAAAATTGTTATTCTTTACAGACTTTTGCTTTACTTTTGGGATCTCCAAAAGCAAAATGCAACACTGGAAATGCTATTTCTACAGTACTATTTGTCTCTTGAAAGTTTGCACTTATTTAACTTACACTTCCAAGCTTATGTCTCATTACTGAAACATCCATTAATTCTACTAAAGCTAGCCCCTACAATCACGTTTAAAGCTTAGTAGTACATTTCTAAATGATATATTAAAACTGCAGTATATGCTGAAAAATACTATGGTAAAATGATAGTAATTTGTTCAGTACTCCAGGTTTCCAGATTAGTCGTATTCTACATGTTTTCTTTCTCTGTTTAAAGTTAGAGATGGAAGCCTGCAGGTCTATAAGATCACAAAGCAAGTTTAAAGAACAAATAAACAATTCTATTCTTTCCTACCTCCCTTTCCTCTTCCTGAACTTTCCCAATCCCTTTCCCAGGAAAGAGATCCTGGAGAGGCATTCCTGTGAGAAGCTTCAATCTCTTCAGCTCAGTTCGATGCACGTAGTGCCTCTCCTGTCGAGTGGTGTCCCGTGTACCCTGTTCCGAGTCACTGCCAGACGAGTCCTCGCTCCCACTTTCTTCCAGTTCCGGACTCAGTAGAGGACTCCTGCTTGAGAAATTATCACTAGAGCTCAAACTTTTCTCCATTTCATCAACGGCACATTCGCTGGTGGGGCTGTTGGAGGGAAGGTCTGCATCGTCCTGCAGCCAGTCAGGAGAATCTCCAGCCAGAATCTCTGTGGAAGTTGGGCTCCTTGGTTCTCCATCTTTCATCTCATTCGAAAGAGGACTGACGGCACAAGGTAATTCAGCATCATCTTGTTTTGCAGTAAAGTGCTGGTTATCCTGATTCGGAGAAGCTGTGTGGTTTCTGGGAGACCCAACAGAGTTGTTGTCACAGCAGAATCTCTCAGATGACTGTTCACCACTCTGTAGAGTCCCTTGAGTGGTGGCAGAAGTTGGGTTTTGTGGGGACTGTTGTGGTTTTTGGGACATCTGGTCATGAAGTGACTTTTCCACAGGGAAATAATCTATATGTGGTGTGTTAAAACCACCAGAATATGTAACCTTCCCATCTGCCTCTTCCATGTTAGAGGCATCTGAGAACACAGCCAGGTCTCCATCACTGGAGTAGCAGTGGGTGCCAGCACCAAAAGACTCAGAGGCATTGGAGATGTCTGGGGTGTGGTCACTCAAACATGCCAGGCTTTCTTTGTTTTCCTTTTCTGATTCTTTGCTATCCTGTGAGAGGGGCAGCTCGCCATTTGGCAGTTTGAATTGCGAGTACTTTGGGAACCTGCACGGCGAAAGAGTTGGGGAACACGGGTCAGAACAGGCCAGTTTAATGGGTGAGCATGTGGGGGACATTTCCAATTCATCCCACTTTAAGGAGCTAGGAGTGGAGGGTGTATTGTCACTTATTATCTCCTCTGAGACTGTGACCCTCTCCTTGTCATTGAGAATCTCCCCACTGAATTCCATGGGACTGCTTTCTCTCAAGCCAACCAGTTCTACTGTGGGCCCCGGCCTCTTTCCATCATGTATCGCAAAAGCCCAGGTACTACAGGCATTTTCTGTGAGGTCAATACATATCTGAAAGAAATCACAAGAGAAAAAAATAATTCCCTTTTAATTCAGAAGCTACTGAGGTACAGTACAAACCGTTGCCTGAGAAATCACAGAATCAATGAAGAACATGTGCTAAGGCAGTATGGAGGTAACTTGACAACACAATCCAGGTTCTATAATAATACTAATACTTATTATTAAACTACTACTACTATTATTATAACTATTATAAAAGGCCTTGCCAAACCCAATGATGCTGTACATAATGATATAGAAAAAGACACAAAACGTACAACACTAAACAAAGAAGTGAGACCAGAACTAATCAGAGTAAAATGCTGCGGGTGTCAATGAGAGAAATATGTCCATTACAAAAAGAGGAATGGGGAACAGTAGGAATGCCCCCATCCACATTGACATGGAGTGGGGAGTCAGAAACATTTTTCTGGACTGACAGGAAGGATAAAGAGAGAAATCTGTAAGTGGGACTACACCTCAGCAAAAAAAAAAAAGTGACTGTGGGAATTGTACTAATAGTAAAAAAACAGCACTGAACCCAAAACAGTCTGAACAAAATGGTGCCTATGAATGACCAACAATTCATAGCTTGAGAGCCAAATCAATACCAACACATCACCAGGAGGGATACAGGAACTCCAAAACAATGAACAGTTAAAATACTCATCTGCAAACAAATAGACCTATGTGGCAGTCCTCTCACTCAATATAATGCACCGACAATACTGATATGATCCTAAAATACCAATGTGCGACAAAGGTACTGTATAAAGGAATTAAATTAACAATATATTTAACAAACCAGAATCCCGAACATGACTGTCCGTGTCAAAGAAAGGTTGCTTAAAAACACCGCATAACTTCTTTTATTCAGCGAAATCTAATTTCCTGATTGACATTTTAACAATGCACTATAAAATGGCTAACAATAACAACAATTTAGCTTACCTCTCAGTGCGTAACATTTATATTAAGACATCCGCGATGACCAGAGAATGGAAGAATATTTTAAAAACCGCAAAGCCGTTAGTCGTTACTTTTATGTTTGTTCTGTTCTTTGTATCGCACTGATCAGACTTGTCAGGTTCAAATACGATTTTATTTCTGTTGACCTTAAGTGAATTTTAAGGTTTTATTTTTTGTTTCCAAACAGCCTGAAATGTTGCACAGGAAATGACCGCTGGATATTTTTTTAAGTTTTTAGTTGTATACGGAGCTGAAAATATATACACTAACCTTTTGTGAGACAGCTTGCGCGTCATGTTACAAAGTCGATTAGAACTAGAAGCCAAATTCTTGCATTTCTCATACTGTAAAAGTCAATCTGTCACACCATTTCATTGTAATTGTAGTATTTTTTTATCAGTAACAGAAGTAAGTTTTCGCTGAGCTGCCCCCAAAAAACTATCGTGGTGTCATATGACGACTAGTATAAATTTTAAATTGATGAACATGACCAAATATCTCATAAGTTCTCAAAATAATGGATACAGTTTTACTTCGTTCGCTTCTAAAATGTTTTATGTTCCCACCCTCTGCGCTGTCTAGCTTATTTTCCTATGACATCAAGCAGGTGGGTCAGAGTTGACGTAAGTCTCTGTAATAAACACAATTATGTATCCATACCTGTATACCTTACTAACAGTATATACAACTTTAATTTTTTAACAAGAATCATTGGTATTTGTGTATTAGCGGTAAATTTCACGGTAACTGAAGAATGGATCGAAGTAAAAATGGGAATAAGGAAGAGTTTTACATTTTCAATACTAAAACAGCATGACAGCTGTTTTCACTCGTATCTGGAGAGACAGGTATAACAAGTCTTTGTCCTCCTCCCACAAAACCAGTCGCGCTGTTTGATGACATAATGTTACTTTCGGTGCCCCAAACAAATATGGTGGAATCGTCAATGCATTCTCGTAGGGAGTAAAACAACGAGAAAATAACTTACCGGATATGTACTACTCTCCTCACAGACAAGACATGGTTCTGTGTCATTCTTGCCGTCGTTGAAAATGTCCAAAATCTCTACATCAGAATCCTCGTCGCTTCCAGAGCTTATATCTATAATCTCTGCCATTGTATTATATACGGAAGTAACATGGTAGAACTGCGCAGTTCAAATTTAAAAAATAAAAACAAAAAAAGTGGACGCACTCTGACAGAATTCGTAATTCATGAGCAAATTACGCTGATGGATCTTGAAAATAAATCCAACCTCCATGATGCAAGCTTTGAGCGGATTCTTCATCATAACATCACCCCCACTGTTCTCATGCTTTTCACTTTGCCTTCATGTTTTGCTTCTCGTCGTGACCCTTCTTTCTATGCTACAACAGCGCCCCCACGAAATGGAGGACGAAATGGGAATCAGTCTGGATTACTGACACCATCTACCATTCGTTTAGAAACTGCAGTCTCAAGGACCCTTCTCTCGTGGAAATTATAGCTGGTTTAAGAAAAATGGCAACTGGTTTAAAATGGTCATTAGTTTGCTACCGTTCTATGCGTCCTTAAATCCTTAAATCGTTAGCAGCGTATCGGCTTTGAATAATGGACAAACTGTTCCAGTTAAACCTTAATTGTATCAAGTTGACACTTTACAGTGAATTATAATTCAAGGAATCATAAAAAACTCTACTAGATTCTGAACTAGTCCTAAACTCCTACAACGTGTGTTCAGTAAAACAGCCTATAGTTGCACAAGACATCCTGAAGATGTGCTGTGTTGTGGTTATTGTTCCAACCCAGCTGCCAAATACAGCTATAGTTGTTTTTTTTTTAAGTACTATAACTATGCACAGTAATTGCTATACCTACAATGAAGTACTGGTACTTGTGTGTTTAATTAAGTGATTTTTGAAGTATTGAACTGTAAAAGATCTTAAGAAATACTCTGTATATGCTTTTCTAAATATAATTAGATTAATTGTTTAATTTATTACTCAGTTTGGAAGACAAATCAGAAGAAACCAATGTGTCCAGGAACTACGTTGGACCCTAACTCCAGCTGATATTCTATGATAGTAGTGTAATTCTCCTAATATTTAACCAATGTCCAGCACCTTGGTTTTGGCTTCACACCCTTCATAAAAAGGTAACTCACACATGAAGCACAAAATAAGCAAGTAGGAATCTTGTTTTATGAAAAAGTTTCGGAAATTGACTGCCTTTATAGTCGATTAGGTATGTTCAATACTAAGAAATATATCACAGAAAAGCAAAACACTCGTTCACACGTGCATTAATTGGAGATGGTAGCTGAAGTAACACAAAATCGACACGAATGTCACAATTGTCAATCAAATGAATACAAATCTTGACCCCTGGTTGGTAGTGTAATGCATACGGCCGACATTGCAGGTTGTGCGAGTCGGCTTCCCAGCATGGTGACGTTACCGCCCTGCCCTGTGAATAGCAGGGACCGCAGCCGTCGGGCTGAGGGAGGTCTCCCTTTAGCTCAACTGGCTGGGTCCCTGTTGAATGATGCCAGAGGCCTGGGTTCGAGTCCCCAGTGGTGGGAGGCTGACCTGAGGTGGAAGTGGTGAGGGTGCATACCCATGTGAACATTATAGTGCTACAGTATTCTACAAAGATATTTTGTCACTCCAAAGGAAATTTTTTAGACACATTTCATGAAGTAAGCTAATGGAAATGTACTGTAACATTAATATATCCGATAACCCCTTTCCCCTTACCTCGTAAATATAAAGAAATATACTTAGAAACAATAAAGAAAAACCTTCTTCTCACATTATATTACAATATATAAAGGATCTTGATATCTCTGCCCAGATTCTGATATTAGGAAGTCAGTTGACTTTCATATTTTAATACTTTATACTATGTTAAACATTTAATAATATGTTTTAAAATGACTGAAAAAAAACATAAGGAAGGTATCAAACGAGCGGAGGCAATGTGCGCCACATAATTCGTCTGTCTAGTAGTCAAGGGGAACTATTGTACAATACTATTTTTATATCTCGGGGCTAGAAAGATTCGGTATTGATGAGCGCATTTCAAACCACAATGAAAGTACACAGTAACATGTAAAACCTCCAATTTACATGACAAAATAGCCAACATTTCCAGATATGCGCAGTGCCCTGAGATTAAGAACGAAGCAACCAAATTTCCAGTGAGGTGAAGCGGCCCTATTACATTGTAAACAAGCACGCCTGTGAATACATCTCTTTTAATCCAATAGAATTATTGCTCTCGACTTCAAAACAGTTTTGCAGGAAATACAGCCTTACTTAACTCTTACGTTGGAAGATTTCTGCGGTGAAATGTCTGCTGCACAACCTGTAAATTATTCGCTCGTACATCGCATTACATTAGTCATTACAGTGACTACCGAGCACAAAGAGCCGCTTCACGTTGCAATTAGCGCGAACTCTCGCTCTCGCCAATGGCAAGACCAGGAGGTTTTTAACGTGCTCCTAACATTACGTCCTTTGAATATTTTTGTAAGTCTGATTGACAGATTCTGGGCCCCTTGATTCCTCTAAAATGAGTCCCTTTTTGATGTATAGTGCTACATCTCTATCTCTTTCATCTACCCTGGCTCTCTGGAAAGTTGTGCTCCAATTAATTATTCACCATCACCCTCCCTTAGATGGGTTTCTGTGATCATATTTGCATGCTAGTACAGCACCTTTTATTTATTGTGCTTTGTCACTGAATGTTCCTGGCAATTAGGAATAAGAATTTAATTACTGGGTCCATTGGAGTTTTACTTTTTCCTGTCTCTTTTCTTTTTGTCTCGACTCCCGGTGTATCTCCTTTGTTGATTTTCTTTGGACTCCCCTCCCCATTTCATCCTAGCTGGAATGTTTTTAAATTTCTATGGCAATCTTTACCTAAAGCCTGTTAGCACCCATCTCATTCAGAGAAGTAGTCCGATGTAATTAAAAAAATTCTAAGTTTAATTACTCTTGGGAGGTCTTAATTTATGTTCTGCCATGATAATGAACCATTTCTGAACAGCAAAAAGACCTGAATCGCTTCCCAAAGTTTATTTCCAGGAATATAAGAAATGAGCACTGCACTATGCTGTTTTCCACTGCAAGACAGATGGTCTTCCTAATACCATTTCTTCATATTCAGTGTTTTGATGTTTTTTTTTAGAATTAGATTAAGTAGGAATAGTCCATGAATGATAAAATGTTCAGCAGAAAAGGCAATGCACAGTGCACCAATTTCAGAATGAGCAACAGTGAAGGCATTACAATAGCATGCAAATGACTCTGGAATGTAGGCTACGCTATTGCATACTAAATGTTGCTGTTGAGCCCAGTATGAAAAGGTCTAACATTCCTGTACAGGAGAAGACTGAATTAAAATATAAGCAATATTTTGAATACTGTACATTTAATTAATGACAATTTGTTAATTTTATACTTACCAAAGTTCAGTATTTACTTTCCAAAGATTGTGAATAAAAATTATCTTATATAATTAAACAACTTAGAATCAAATAGTGCCAGTTTGATGTATGTCTGTTTCTACCTTAGTCTCATTGACCTGAGGTAAAGTCAGTGCTTCAGATAAATGTATGCAGATTTAAAGCATACATATATTTTTAAAGTATGAAAAAGGATCTGTTAAATTGTTAAAATTGGTAAAATATTTTATTTCTAGCTATTAAACACAGTTGTAAAACATTTTAGGCTGTTATTTCTTTGTATGTGCTGCCTTTATTTTTTAAATTTATTTATTCTGTGAGTATGTTCAGAATCTAAAATTACATTTTTGGAATAGTCTGTAATTAATTCATAATTGCATTTTGCATTTATAATACAAACAAAACATCCTTTCAGATTAAGTGGGTGTGAAAAACAGCAGTTGCAATGAATTATGGCATGAGGTTTAACTACTTCTTCATTCTATCACAGCCCTATAGGAGACAGAATAGTCTTATGACCTTTCATCCTACCTTTTTTGCATGGTAGATTTTCTCTAAAATTCTTCTACACAGTTTTTCTCTCTAAAATCTTCTTAAAATGTTGCATTATGGTTACTTTTGTTCTGCAGTGTTGTCATTTTAGTGTAAAGTGTGTCCTAGTTAGTTTGGTTCATTCTCCAGCAGAGGTCAGCATAGTACAGGTTTGACAAAAGAGCTACAGTATGAATTTAACCCCAGAGATGAGTGATTACTGTTTCAACTTCAGCAAAAGCATATACAGTATTGAACAACATTGAATCAATACATTTGTAAAAGTGTTCAATTCAATACATTATTATCCTGAATAGCTCTGGTTCACATTCCAAACTATAGAATCTGAAGTAATTTCTCAACATCTTCTGAAATTTCTGAAAAAAAAATCTATTTCTGAAAGATTTACTTTCCAGTACTTTGCCCAAGAAGAAATCAGACACAAATCATGTGATTGCTCCTGAAAAATGTCTGGATAAAGTTTTACAGGGTAGTGTTTTCAGTCCACTTTGAGAGCTAATGCATTACCACCTTATAGGCTGTATAAGTAAAGTTACAGTTCAATATTAGGTCATGTTAGTTTTACAGTGGTGCATTCTTCCCTCTACACTACACTTTCCAAAATCTAATGCTCCAGTATGGTAACTATACTGTAAGAGATACAGTACCCTCTTTCAGCTGAGACATTAAACCAAGGTCATACAGTAGGTGCTTGATGATAATTAAAAATCCCATGAAATTGTATGTAAGGATCTTATTGACAATGAAGTGATGAAATTCCACTTTGGGTTTGTACTATCTGTTCTACTTAAAGTTCTCCCATAATGCAAATGGTAGAGATTTTTTTTATCTATCATTACACAAGTAGAGAAGGAAATGGTTTCATTAATATTATTAACACCCAAAATTTAAGCAGCAAGCAGTGGAATATACAGCACAAGACAAAAACAAAGACAAAACAAAAAAAAAAACATTTTTAAGAAGTACATAGATACTGTATAACAGCAAGCAGACCATAGACATGATTAACAGTAACAGTGGTTAGTATTAGGAAGGTATTAGTACATGCACATTTGTGGGGGGCTCTGCCCATGACATCATTTATAGTCATTATTTGAGAGCCTGGTGGCTTCTGGAACAAAGCTAAATTTCTCTTTCTTGTCTCTAACTGTGAACAGAGAAAATGTCTTCCTGAAAGCAAAAGTTCCAAAATTTGGGTAGATATAATTAATGGAGTTCTGCAGGGATCTGTACTAGGACCATTGCTCTACTCTGTTTATATCAGTGATCTAAACTCTGGCAGGTCTGCAAATGATACCAAATTGAGAGGATTCACAAACACTATAGAAGCTGCAAATGAATTCCAAAAATATTTTGATAAAATTAATGACTGGACAAAAATGTGGCAGATGATGTTTAATGTAG